TGGCCGCAGGTCAGATGAAACAACAACAAAGTCGATCATGGAGCTGCGGCTTAAGGTATCCTGGTGCCAAGAGCACATATGGGCACCTTGGTCTTCATTGTGGAAAATCCATGACTGGCACAGAACTCCATTAACAAAACACCACTCAAATTCAGATCAGGGGGCCGTTCCTCCCAACCACACCTTTCCAGGTCTCACTGTCGTTACCCACGTGAGCGTTAAAGTCCCCCAGCAGAACGAGGGAGTCACCGGAAGGAGCACTCTCCAGCACCCCCTCCAAGGTCTCCAAAAAGGGTGGGTAGTCTGAACTGTAGTTTGGTGCATAAGCACAGACCACAGTCAGAACCCATCCCCCCACATGTAGGCGGAGGGAGGCTACCCTCTCATTCACCGGGGTAAACCCCAACGTACAGGCACCAAGATGGGGGGCAACTAGTATGCCCACCCCTGCTCGGCGCCTCTCAGTGGGAGCAACTCCAGAGTGGTAGAAAGTCCAACCCCTCTCAAGGAAACTGGTTCCAGAGCCAGAGCCATGCGTTGAGGTGAGTCCGACTATATCTAGTCAGAATTTCTCAACCTCACACACCAACTCAGGCTCCTTCCCCACCAGAGAGGTGACATTCCATGTGCCAAGAGTCAGCTTCTGTAGCCGAGGATCAGACCGCCAAGGTCCCTGCTCTCGACTACCACCCGTCACACACTGCACCTGACCCCTTTGGCCCCTCCCATGAGTGGTGAGCCCATGGGAAGGGGGACCCATGTTTCCTCTTTAGGCTGTGCGCGGCCGGGCTCCATGGGTGAAAGCCCGGCCACCAGGTGCTCGCCAACTCGCCCCACCTCTAGGCCTGGCTCCAGAGGGGCCCCCAGTGTCCCACATCCATTTATACTATTCGTCATAAGAGGTCTTTGGGCTGCTCTTTGTCTGATCCCACACCTAGGACCTGTTTGCCATGGGTAACCCTACAGGAGGCATAAAGCCTCAGACAATTTAGCTCCTAGGATCAAACCCCTTCACCACGGTAAGGTGGCAGCCCAGGGGGATATATATATATATATATATATATATATATATATATATATGTATATATGTATATATGTATATATGTATGTGTCCATGTATGTATAAATATATATATATTTGTATATAGTTTAGTTTAGTTTAGTTTAGTTGTCATATGCAAGTTAGCACAGGGTCAACATTGCAATGAAATGTGTTTGACGAGCAGCGGTCTCTCAGCAGCATAATACAATAGAAAAAAAGAACAAGGTATAATACAGTAAAAGCAAAATATTAGAGAGTCATGCTAAAAGTAAAAGCTCACTAAATAGATAAGTAAGTATAGATGACTAAATATAAATGTATCTAAAAAAAAGTGAGTAGTAACATTAAAATGAAGTAACCAGTGCAGGTTAAATTTTACTTGTGGAGCTGCAGGGTAACATCTGTATCCTGTGTTGTGTGTGTTTAAGTGTAATGGTTGAGGTGTCGTATGGCTTGGTGGTAGAAACTTATATATACATATGTGTGTATGTATACACACATATGTATATACATATATGTATACACACATACATACACACATGTACATATGTGTGTATGTATGTATATATACATATATACATATATATGTAGGGGGAGAGAGAGAGAGAGAGAGAGAGAGAGAGAGAGAGAGAGAGAGAGAGAGAGAGAGAGAGAGAGAGAGAGAGAAAGAGAGAGAGAGAGGCCATAGATTGAGTTGGTAGAATAAGAAGTAAACAAATATGTTCATTAATCAAAAAGTACTTTAGTTTCCAGTCCATATTTTAATGCAGATACTTTTTTATACACTTCTTATCATAAATGTTTTGTTAGAATTGCAGCCTGAACAGCTTCCCATATTCCCTCTGTGTCTGTGTGACAAACTCTAAATTATTACAGTTAATGATTTTGGTCATTTTTAGAGTTTCTTTATAAGATCAATCTAAATGAATGGAATATTCCTCAACAGTTAACATGACCTATCAGGCTTCAGACCTTCACCTTCTAGGGGCAAAAAGCAATAGAACAGGTTTATCTACTTGGCTGAAATGATACGCGTTTGAAAGAGTCAGCTGTTTCCATTAACACTTTCAGCTGCGCAACATTAAACTTTAGTTCCCACATAAATAACAAGAGTATTGACAAAGTTGTCATGAATAACATGTCAGCCTGTTGCTCCTCTGATGAAGAGACTGATCAGCAAAAGCAGCATGTAGTCCAACACAACTGGATTTCTATTCCCACACATATTTTTTTCCCATCTGAGGAGTTTTAACTAACTTTGAGGAAAACGATGAGATCACCGCATCCTGGATGGGCTGCACCAGCATTTTGAGGAGGAATCTCTCAGGGTCTGCAGGGTTAGGAAGCTGTTTAACCGGTTTTCATTTTCTGCTAAGATCTTCCAAAACACACGTTTGTTTATGTTCATTTTCACGTGTTCACACTCTCAGCATGTCACCGAACACGTACATAGGAGTGGCAGTAGGATGAGCTGGGATTAACCTTCCTATAACTCAACCCTCCTTCATGCAAATGTTTTAATATTTCATTCTTATGAGGAAACGATAACTTCAATAAATTCAACATAAACGCTCTCTTTCTACAATGTTCTAGCCGGCCCAATAAATAGATGAATGTCTCTGTTGGTCACGTTTTCCTGATGCTTCCAGCAAGGCTGACTTCCTGAAATGTTTTACAAATGAAATATATTTTATGAACTTTTTATCAACTTGATGCATTCTTTGTTGAAAATGCAGCTTAAAGGAGAGCAAAACAAGCCAGGAAATGATCCAACTGCCTTTTTACGGGTAACATGCACTGGTTTCTCCTCTCCTGCCCCCTCATAGCCCCTTGATGCCTCTTTAACAGCTTCTGCTTGACACCATGGGGCAAAATGTTTTGGAAATTTTAGAATGAAAGTGTTTGTACGTGGTTTGTAAAGTATTGAAGTTGCGGTTGAATTTTCATTTGTGGATTCAGTAGATGTAGTATATTTATTACTTACTGTTACTCGACAGCTTTTCCTAATCCTAGTTGACTTGGTATTCCTGTTTTTTATCATTTCTCATGTTTTGTTTTTTATGTTTAATTGTGCTTTTACTGCTCATATTTTTTTATGTTTTTATGTGTCTATGTTCAGCACTTGGGGCAACACGGTTGCATTTAAATGTGCTGTATTATAAACATGATTTGATTTGATATTATCAGAACTGAAGTGGATGTTCTCCAGTGTAAAATGCCACCAATCCTCCTGTTTTTAGGACTATTTACTTGATCTATATGCATAAACACCAAAGCACGGGCCCAAGATAATAATCAGCATCACTTCTTCTAACTTCAATTTTAAATTTGAATGTGTTGGTAAAACTTTACAATAACTTTATTAATATTACCAGTATTGTTAACTATTATGTGTCCTAAAGATTAGAACAAAAGGGCCAGGGGGTGTCTGTTTCGTAATGCGTTTACATACCATGGTTAAGCAGTTGTTAATACTTTATTTAATAGTTTATTAATGCTTAATAATGCACTAAGTAATGTTAGTAAAGAGACCCTTGTTGAAAAGTGTTTCCAATGTGTTTCTTTATAATAAAACAGAAAAAGTTAATTGCAGAGTTCAGCACAAAAGAAATATTTTCTAGTAAAATTTACAAATACTTCATAAAAAAGTGAAATATTTCTACCAGCCACCAGGTCAGGCTGTGTTTGAAGGCTTTAGCTGTGATTTAGGTCAGCTGTGTTTGCTGATTGGTGTTAAACAGGCCATCCTTCCTCCTCAGTCATCGTGATCTGATGTTTATTGTGTTTTTCGGGCCGTTGTTCGTCTGAAAGATCGATGATTTCAGCCTCAAACCTCGGTTTCTGACTTTGGATAACAGCGATTTCTCTAAAATCATGTTCACATGGATTCTTTACTTCTGTAATGCGTCAGACATCAGCGCAGCCCAGAAATTAACCACAAAATAAAAGACACAGTTTCAAACATTTATTTGACGTTTTGGGTGTGTCTTAACTTTATTGTAACCTTCAGAGGACGCTGTGGATCAGTGAGACTCCCGGTTGTTTCAGATGGACCTAATAATGAAAACGAGACCCTCCTGATGTACTTAATATATCTGATAAAATGTCTTGAAGAATTTAAAAGTTATTGAAACAACAGCATAAATATTTGTGGTCTTAAACATTTAAAAAATGTTTTACCTCAAAAAATTTTTTAAATCCATCTTCAGTAAATTCTAATCACAAGAAAGAGCAGTCAGGCCTGTTTTGTTAGGGTTATGTTGGCTTTTATAAATCCAGGTTAATAAAATAAAATATAGTAATCTCGTTTGATTTATCTTCAATATTTAATGTGTTTTTTTAGAGTCCTGAGAATAAACACATGCATGGTTTTATGGGACAGTGATTTTTGTGCAGATTGCAGTCAAACACATTTTCTCTATTTAATCTAGAAAACAATATATTCCAGTTGTTTTTTTTTTCATGTCAATGACAACTATAGTCATAAAGCACATTTAAAAATCCACTTGGATTTTTTCAAACATGATTTTTCTTTTATACAAGAAACAAGGCAATACAATGAAATATATAAATTAAAAACCAACAAACATCGCCATTTTAAAGTGGATTAAAAACACAACAAACAACTTTTTTCCCTGTTTAAATAGGCTTTGTATCAACATATGTAAATAAAACTATTGAACAAGATGAATAGGAATAAATAAATCTAACTAAGACCTAATCTGATAATGTCTGGTCTGAGGACATATCTACTCATTTTATTCAGTATTTATGACCAAAATTGAGCTCCATGATCTATTTATCAGCCACTATGGTTCCATTATCTGTGCTTTATGCTCCTCTCTCTCCCTCAGCCTCCCCTCCTCCTCTCGCTGGCATTAAGTTCAAACTTGACACTGATGTTGACTCACTTTGTCACCCCTCGGTGGCTCCCTCTCCCTCTGTCTCTCCCTCTCTCCCCATCGCTTGGAGGACACGAGTGCCCGCAGACGCATTTCTCTCCAGAGCCCCCTCTCCTCCCTCTTTCACTCTGTCTCACCCTGTCCAACTCTCTTCATCTCCCTCCGACTCTCCCCTTTTACACACACACACACACACACACATGCATACACACACACAGTATTGTCAACAAAGCTGGGAAACGAGGGACGCTGGGGGATTAAAGATCCACAGAGGAGGACAGGGACATCTCCATTAGTTTACCTGGATGCTTGGTGAGTTTGTGAAATTTGATATTTATTTATATATATTTGATGATTTTGGGCCAACCTGGAAGCATCGCGTTTGAAAAATTATATTTTGAGCTTGATGTTTCAGTTTGACCTTTGACACTGTCGCTGCATTTGACTGATTTGTTTCAACATCGACAAATATTCACCTAGCTTTGTCGCTTGCTCCGTAGGAATTTCTCTCCTTAATCACGTAAAACTAACCTGAATTCTGAGGTTTTCGCATCATATTTTGAACTTTAAAGTGACTCATAATTACATGCTGTCACAAAGTCAGATTGTTGCTTGTTTTCCAGTTTTTTTCTGTGTGCGGATGCATGCAAGGGTTTGAGCTAAAAGCAAGTCAAATGTCATGGCTTCCAGAGTGGCTTCTAATGTAGCTCCTCTCCCCGTGGTATACTAGCACAGCAATGTATAACACACACACGTTACGACAGCGAGCATGTAACTAACTCCATTTATGTCTGTCATCATGAGGCTAATTCACCACAATGCCAACCATGTGTGAACTCATGCGATGTGAACCCCTCCTTCTTCTTCTTTTCCTTCTCTCTTTCGGCGTCAGCCTCCAAACAGAGTGGAGGAGGCAGAGAGGAGCTGAGGTAAACAGGGACGAACACTCACACTCGCAGGACGGGACTCCTTCGTTTCCCTTCATGGTGGTTTGGATGCTCGTAGTATGTATGAGAAGTTAACCATGCTGAACCTGCAGAGCGGCTCAAACTGGAGCGGGCCTAACAACTGGTACCATGATCCCACAGGCGTGCAGACGCAGCACAGCGCAGGTGAGGTGATATCTGCAACTCAGTGCGTACATCAGCAGGTAAACTTCACCAAACCTGGTGATTCTTTGTACGAATTTTCTTGACATGTGTTGTTCTTGCTGCCAGTGTCTGAGGGTTGCATGCTGGACACAGAGGGCAGCATGGGGGGAGAAGCAGGAGGAGGAGGATCAGGCAGAGGAGGAGTCCCCGTGGAGCGGGATGAAGGCGAGGAGTCTCAGTTGAGGCTGCAGCTGAAGAGAAAGCTGCAGAGGAACAGGACCAGCTTCACCCAGGAGCAGATTGAGGCTCTGGAGAAAGGTCAGGCCATGCAAGCATGCACATCTCTCTCTCTCTCTCTCTCTCTCTCTCTCTCTCTCTCTCTCTCTCTCTCTCTCTCTCTCTCTCTCTCTCTCTCTCTCTCTCTCTCCTGTTTGCGTTGCAAAAGCTACACTATTCCTTCTTCTGTTAGATTGTAATTCTCAACTTATTTAGAGCTTTTGGTTTTTCTCGCAAACCAATGAGATCTTTAAGATTTCCCCCTAAAGAAGACCACGCTTCGCCCCATTTAGCTCCAGATGCAAATCATCCCTTATCTTAACCCCACGAATATTCCTTATCGGCTCCAGAAACGCCTCTGGCAGAGGTTTTTGATCATGCATCATTACTGTGTGTGTGTGTGTGTGTGTGTGTGTGTGTGTGTGTGTGTGTGTGTGTGTGCACTGAGAGGGATCAGAGAGCCACCCTTGACTGGATGTGGCTGCAGAAGGGCCCCGGAGCTAAATAAGAACTCAGTGTCCACTGTGCAGCCAAGTGGAAGCATATCACTGTGGTCACTCCGTGCAAATGACATTAATGAGGTACACTGACCTCAGTGCACGGCTGAGGCACAATAACAATCATGTGTTGACGTGGACGCCAATTATAACTGAGCCAATTAGAACAATTTGTGAGACAGATTGAATTTTCGAAGCATGTTTTAGCTGTTCACCGGAATGCTAATGTGCTACACCGCTCTTTATAGATGTAAACCCTGCAAAGAGGCTAAGCTAACGAACATCACAAGTCCAGAGAGTGATCGTTCTAAACCTGAAACCCAGGATTTCAGATGGATGACTCAGATTCAACGGCTGAGCCATGTTCACGTTTCAACTTGTCAACAACAAAAATGTCAACGTTAAATCAACTGCTACGATGGAAATGACTGAAACTGAAAGTGAGGGTGATCGACTCATTCTGCATCTCAGTGGAGATGAGAGACCTTCTACTTGTGCAGCTCCAGTGAAAACAACTCTCACGTTAAAGAAAACAGATTTATGAACAAATCCAAAAACACAACTAAGTTTAGACGTGCAAGGACTTCTCCCCTGTTTAGTCTGAGCCAGCTCCCTGTGAAATAAAGTGCTTAGGCAGCTTCTCATCTTGAATCCTTTCATTTGAACTTTCTGCATGTTCCATGATGATAAATAATTTATACAAAGTGCAACAGATAAATATTTCAAAATGATTTGTAAGGATACAGCTCGACTTCCTGGATTTAAAGTTTCCATGGGAAGATAATCAGGAACATTTCAAAGAAAAGAGTAAAGAATCACACCTGCAAATGAAAACAGTGTGACACAAGAGATGCTAAAGGGTTTTGCATGAGTGTGTGTGACATGATGTAATCTGTTTCTACAGAGTTTGAAAGGACGCATTATCCAGATGTTTTTGCGAGGGAGAGATTAGCAAACAAGATCGATTTACCTGAGGCCAGGATACAGGTGAGCAGGTGGTGAATCCTGGGTAATCGGCAGTGATAATAAACAGACCTGACAGGAATCTGATTGGCAGGTGTGGTTTTCCAACCGAAGAGCCAAGTGGAGGAGGGAGGAGAAGCTGCGCAATCAGAGGAGGTCAGGCGGCGTCTCCTCCTGCTCTCAGAGCCAGGCCCCGCTGAGCACCTCCTTCAACACATCTGTGTATCATCAGCAGCATGGCAGCAGCTCAGGTAAACTGACCCAGAGTCAGTCCTAACAGCACACTGATGAGGCCAGAAGTGAGACTTTACATTTGCTCTCCATGATTAATACATTCAACAGGAATATTCTAGCAGTTTATAATCCACACAGCACCTCTGCTTGACATACGAAAACCCATTAGAGTTTCTCCATTAGAGTGTGTATGTATTAAACATTTCCACCACGAGATAGTTCTATTGACTGTGTGTGTGTGTGTGTGTGTGTGTGTGTGTGTGTGTGTGTGTGTGTGTGTGTGTGTGTGTGTGTGTGTGTGTGTGTGTCTCCAGGGTCCATGTTGAGTCAGGCTGAGTCGTCCCTGCCCAGCTACAGCTCGCTGTCTGTGTTCTCATCCGGAGTCCAGGTTGGATGTTCTACATGCATCATTCATCATCACGTCCCAAAAAATCATACCAAAGCACACACACACACACACACACACACACACACACACACACACACACACACACACACACACACACACGCACGCACGCACACACACACACACACACACACACGCACGCACGCACGCACACACACACACACACACACACATGCAGACAAAAACCTTGGTACAACAATAATCTGATGATCTCAACCATTTGTGCTTTCCTATCATTTGTTTTAATATAAATGTTTACAGAAAACATCCTAAATAACTTGTAGGTGTGTCATCAGTAGGACAGGTAGACGTCTCTGGTTAGCACCTACACCCACACTAACCTCTAACTAAACTGTAGCTTCACCTGACACAGAAACAAGGTAAACAACCTAACTATTTGTTCGAACACATCACCTCTTTATTGATCGATCTGGGTGGTTTTCAGCACATGAAATCTAGTTTTTAAAATTAAACCAAACAATGATTAAAAGTGACAGTTACTACCAAACTGATAAATAAAATGATCACCACAAACAACATTTATAGAAGATTTACTGTTGCAAAAGAAAAAATAAATCAGTGTGATGATGACCAACTAAAACCAAATCAACCAGTAAGCAGCTGTAAAAGCTGCAATACTTTATTATGGTTCCATTATTGATTTGATCATTTATTTTCTGAAGTTAAAATAACAAACATCCAAATTATAAATGCTTACTTATTTATTAAAAGAACATTTTGAGAAAAATTATTCTTTCACAAAGCTCATTCAGATTATTTTCTAATTAAAATGTAATTTTTTAATACTTGCTTGTTGAATTATAGAGTGATAAATATTTTAATAGTTTATTGGACTGTCTCTATTTTCTAAAGAGTTTGAGTGGAATGAACCGTTTTTTAATCCAAATAAAAACAACAACGTTAAAACCAACTTCTTTAAGGTTATGGATCCTTCTTTACTTTGAAGTTTGCTGAGTCCATATGACATCACTTCCTTTAAATCTTTATTTGCAGCCTAAACCTGAAATATTTTAAATGTAAAAGAAAGCTGTATATTCAAAAATATATCTAAGAGATAAATAGAATTTTTTAATCTTGTCTCGCACTAAATCATTGTTACTGTCAGTACTCTAGCGCCCTCATGTGGACTTAATTTAAGCTGCCTTCATGATGTCTACAGCCTCATCGTGTTTTAACTTTAATCCTGTTTCTCTTAGTCAATTCCTCCCCAGTCGGCCTCTTCATACTCCTGCATGTTACCTCCATCACCTTCTGCCCCGCGCAGTTTTGATTCGTCGGCGTACTCCTCTCCTCACCTGCAGACTCCGCCCTCAGCCAGCTCCAACACAGGTGGGTTTCAGTCAGCACACCTGCTTTTAGTTTTCCAGCGTGAGCTTCAAGCAGACTGTTTGCCTTTTTTCTTCCAGGGCTCATATCGCCCGGGGTTTCGGTGCCCGTCCAGGTTCCAGGAACAGAGCCTCAGAGCATGGGTCAGAGCCTGGGTCAGTACTGGGCCAGACTACAGTGAGCTCTGGAACGATGGGAGAAGAGAAGACAGAGGGGACAAGGAAAAGTGGAAGAGATTGGTTTTAAGGAAGCACAGGCCGTGTTGGGTTGCATTAAATGTTTACAAAATCAGACAAAAGCAACTTTGGTTGCACTAAATGGTACTCTGGACAGGCTGGTTTCATCTTGGATTTCACAGTTTCTGGAATAAAATAATCAACTTAGTTCAAATCAGGAGACAGATGAAGACTGGATTTACTTTTCTGTCTGTGCAGAAACAGAAAGTGAAGGTTTTCATTAATTAGTTGTTATTATTTGACCAAACATTTCTGTTTCTTTTTGTTTACATTAATGACCAAAAGCAAAAAACCCTCAGGTGTAGCTGGAAGCTCCAAAAATCAAATTATACCTTTTTAGATTTTAAAATCTTCACAAAGCTTCTAATTGTGAGTATATGTATCTTCCACATTGTCTTAAAGGAAGTAACTCAAACTCTGAGTTAAATCTGGGATCTGAATCATCGCTTTGCCACAGAAACTGGGACGAGTCATCCCAATAGCCAGCGGATGTCGAGTGTATTGTGAAGTGTAACCTCAGTTTCTTGTTACTTGAGCAGCTTTATGACATTACAATAGCTAGTTTGATTCCCTGAACAACTGTGAAGATTTTAAAGTTACTTGTGACAATCACTTGTACTAAAATGTATCATCAGGTGTGTAAATCCTGCCTCTCCTGACAGCGCCGAAACCACATATTTTTGTACAGACGTCTGTGTATGAAGAGGGAGACTGTGGGAGATTGTTTATTGTGATTAGAGGGAAGAATGTAGCATGATGCAGGCTCCAGTCGTCCTCAAAACGCAGGTTTCATTAGTCTGAATCCAGAAAGTGGACTTTTTATAACCAGCAATCACACCAATCATGATTTATTTCTTCAGTATTTTCTAAAAATATGAACAAAACATCACTAATGACACTTTTTCCGTCAGCGTTTGACAATCAATCTTTCACAGCGAACTAAAAGCATCACACCAAACACTGAAGACAATCAAATCTGTAAAAATGATCCACGTATGACCAAAGGATGGCGCTGCAGACAATCAGCTACATGCACAGAAGAATCAGATGTTGTACAGAAGCCCTTATTGTACTTTGCAGAGTTTTAAGCTCTGCCCACTTCCCCTCAGCACATTGATTCTGTTGATGCATCTTAAATGAAGCTTTTATTTATTCGCCTTTGCACTCGTTCACACAAGCCCGTTGTGTTGTTTTCATGGTTGTCCTGTGTGGTGTTAGTACTGTATAGCTACCAAGAGTCAACCCTTTTGTGAAGGCCTTGGATCCCTTTAATGAAAATAACGTGTGTATTAAAATAGATTCTACAATCTACATGTGAGATTTATTCATACAGCAGGATCAATGTTTATTATTTCAGCCTCACTACAGCCACACCCAGACCTGATTCCTAGCAGAACCATGGATTAACCTTTGTGACCCATTCTTCCACCTGATGTTCTTTCAACTAGAGGAGCACCAAATGCATCACTGGGAGAACCTATGCAGGATAACAAATCACTTCTACAATAGCAATGGCTGATTCAAATGTGTTGTCAGCTGTTAACCTGAAGAGGCGCCTCACTGACGGTTTTCACACTTAAAACTGCTGGGTTAAAAAATAACCCAATTTGGGTTGTTTTGTAACCCAGGTGCAGGGTCAAAAAGAGACTGACCCAGTGCTGGGTTATTTTAAACAAGCAGGGTTGGGTTATGAGTTTGACCCAGCTTACAAATTGAATAATTCAATAAAACAAAATGAACATGTCTCAGTCAATTCTTTATCACAAAAATTACGTTAATTTTCTAAATGCATAGATAAAAAATAAAGTTGCATTTTCTACTTTCTCTAAACATGCGTTCATATTCAAACTTGTTTTGTAAATGACTACTAATTGCATATTTTTTTATGACAAATATTAAACATTTTGTAATTTGTAATGTCTTAAACATGTTAAACAACTTTAATGGAAGAACTGTAGTGAATTAAATGTCCATCAACACCCAACACTCACCTTAATGCTTTAGTCAGCAGAACATCAACCTTACATCATAGCAACATGAGCCCTCAAAGCTTCACAGCATTTGATTCATGGTGCAGAGATAAATGTCTGAATAAACCCCCAAATCTGTGCACGCGGTTTTGGATAGTTGACATCAACACAAAAAATGTTTAACAGATGGGTATTCCAGTTCCATTGATGATCACAAATTCTTGGGAACATCGATGGTCTTCTGCAGCCATGAGGACATGTGGTGCTCCACTGTGGTCCCATTCAGGTTCTTCACCAGGCTGGTTCCAGTCTAAGTTGAGGGGGATAGAGGAAAAAAAGAACAGATTTAGGCATAAGGTTATGATTTCACAAACAGCTGTTGAAACATATTTGGAGTGGGCTGTGAATGATAACTGAAATAATAAATAACAGAACTTACAGGTTGGAAGTCAGTGAAGGCCTGCTGAAGCTCTGCTTGGTCGGAACGCTGTCCTTCAACTTGTATGGTGCAGTTTGGAGAAGCAATGGCAGCAACAACAAAGCCACGTCCACCCATTTGTCTGTAAAATTGAAATGTGTAACATTATTCACATGACTGTAGCATAAAGGCCCTCTGCTGTTAGCGGGGATGCTACCACTGGTATAAAATAGCCAGAAGGCCTAACGTCCCCCAGTAGAGCCTAACCATTTCAGGGAGTGTGGACAGAAGATTACAACATTTTCCAGAGCACTTGTGGTGTGGATTCTGTGTTCCATTCTATCTAAAAAATATATGGGGCTGCATGGTGGGGCAGTGGTTAGCACTGTTGCCTCGCAGCACGAAGGTCGCAGGTTCAAAACTCGCCTTTCTGCGTGGAGTTGCGTGTTCTCCCCATGCATGCGTGGGTTTTCTCCGGGTACTCCGGTTTCCCCCACAGATCACAACATGCCCTATAGGTTAAAAAAAATTGTAAGTCGCTTTGGGTAAAAGCGTCTGCTAAGCACATAAACAACATAAACAACATATGTATATCGATGCTAGGAAGCTAAGTAGCCAGCTACCTAATCTAAACTATGAGTTGGTTGTCTTGAACAGACAGGCTAAAAATCTGTTACTTCATCAACTACATGTCCTGCTGTCAACAGTTTTAATTAAATTAATCTTGAAACTCTTTATTAGTAACATCTTACCTTATTTTAAATCCTTGCTGGTGTGAAGCTCCATTAATGTCCGTGTCATCCTCTGGTTTAAAATGGTGAAGCGGGCTCACAGACAAGGGGGAGGATCTTACTATTTCCCGCCTTTTTTAAACCCAATACGCTGGGTCAGAATTTTTAACCCAATGATGTGTTAAACTGATCCAACCTCTAAAAATTCTGCCTTAACCCAGCAGTTGGGTTGGAAGAATAACCCAGCATTTTTAGGGCATCATACTAGTCAGAGGAGCATAAATGCAGATAATGTGCATGCGCCAGGTGGATTTTGGGAATGGGGTGCCTAATGGAGCCAGTGGGGGAGCTGGCTTCCTGGAGGGTCTAGGCCCCCTAGCCATTCCTCCCCATCCTCAGACATTTTCCTCCTCCTGCTCCTTCCCATCACCACACAAACATGCACATAAGGCCTTGGAGTGTGGGTAAGTCAGGGGGTGTGGTTCCTATTTTCTGCAGTGCTGTGGCGGCTGGTACCTAAATTTTAATTTGCAAATTAACCACTTCCACCAACGTCATTCCACGCAAATGCACACTTAGGGCCTTGGAAGTGAGCACACTCAACTACACCTGGCAGGGGGGGATCACTCAGCCTCACCCCGAGTGCCGGTGCCCCCTTCTATCATTAAGCTGCACCTAGACACTGAGGGTTCTGGGGGTAAGCGGGGTTGTGTGGTGGCATCAGCTGGTGTAGGTCAGACAATGCCTGCACTGCCCCCCAACCACAAAATGCATTTAACAACATGCATCAACACCGCATTGGAACAGATAGAGGGAGACTAGGGGTCTTATCACACCTCTGTTCTCGGTTAGCTGTCTGGGGCTGGAGGCTAGGAGTGGGAGCTGGCCGTCTGGTTGGGGTCTGAGGTGGTGTGTCGCTTTGCTCTGCGTTGGGTGGGTACCTGCTCATCATTATCCCAGCAGAACGAGGCTAGCTCTGGTGTCCGGGAATGGCTGTGCCTTCTGTGCAGCAGTACCAGGACAAGAGTGAATAGGGTGTGTATGAGGAGCGTGAGTGGTTGTATGACGTACATTCTTGTAAGTCTTTAGGTTGTATGTGTATATGTGAGCATGAGGGAGGGAGCGTGTGACTGTGCTTGTGTGTGAATGTATATATCACGTAGGTTCTTGGACTCCTCCCCTCACCTGGGACATCTTTTGGTGCTACAACATCTTCACCTACCCTCCCCCTGCCGCTTTTTCTGCCAGTGGGTGGTGCCTCAGTCTGCCTGCATATCCGCAGGTTCCGTGTAGGGGTTGGGAAGTTTTTGGCATCTGTCAGGTCGCTCCCGGTGGCTGCCTAGTGGGGTCTGGATCCCCGGGCTCTGTCGAGTCCCCAGCGGGGTTGGTCACCCTTGGGTCCTGGACTGCCGGGGTAATCCTTTGCGCCTTTAGGGAGAGAGGCTGGGGCTTCTCCGGCAGCTGTCTCTCTGGGGTTCCTGCGCTTCGGGGAGACTCATGGATCTCTAGCACTTGGAACTCCTCCATCTCCCACAGGTCTTTGGGGCGGGTCTGTGACCCCTCACACTCACAAATGGACACTCCTAGAGAGAAACCTTACATACACAAGCGTATGTACACACACAGGTGTTTATTAGTGATCAAAAACACTTGGTAACAGTTGATGCTGCCAAGAATGTTACAACCGTTTATTGCTTTGGAGTGAATTATATTTCCTGTGAAACCAGCCTAGTTTGTATTGATTTATTTCCTAACAAATAAAATCATTGTTTGAAGACTTTATTTGTTTTTGTCAGCTGGTGTTGACATTTGTTTTTCTGATGTGAAACACGAAGCCAAAAAACCAAAACCATAAGAAATATGTAGGGGGACAAATACATTTTCACTTTTACTGCACTGTGTGTGTGTGTGTGTGTGTGTGTGTGTGTGTGTGTGTGTGTGTGTGTGTGTGTGTGTGTGTGTGTGTGTGTGTGTGTGTGTGTGTGTGTGTGTGTGTGTGTGTGTGTGTGTAACCTGCTGTAACATAAACCATCAGGCAGGATTCATTTATTAATTTCTTTAGAACAGAGATAGTAAATAAAATTGTGAAATGAAAATGTTGAAGGCTTCATGTGGCCCATATTTTTTTCTACTTCTCTGTCAGATTTCTGTCACACAACGTTCTATGGGGAAACAGCATGATGTGTGAAGAGAACTGTGGCGTGATGCGGAAATGACTGGCTGACCATTAGCAGGGCTAATGGCATGACTCACTTAGACCCTGGAGGATGAACAGAAATTAAAGACGAGGAGAAAAGGAGGAAGGGGAGGATGGAAAGATGATCCTAGTGCAGAGCTCTAAACTGGGAGTGAAATACCAGAGCACTCCAGCTTAATGCATCAGCACCAGTTAGGCACCCAAAACAAATCATTTTTAGGACAGCAACAATGGATTCATTGTTTTTATGTGTAATTAGAATAACTCACAAATTAACCTAGATTCATATTTTCAGCTATAGCCTGGGGGAACGTTTTATATTACAGTTTGTCTCAATTGCTAAAACACAAAAGCCAATCCTCTAAACCAAATGACCAGTTGTCTAAACACATTGACTAAATCTAGCCATCATTTTCCAACATCATAAACACATTTCACATGAAGACACAATCCTCCGTTCTCATAAATCTAAACACATTTTTCTTTGCTAAAACACAAGTTGCAAAAGAACTCTGCTTATATTCTCAAAAGAAAGTTCATGTGATGCCAAATGCTTGCCACAGTCAGCACTAATTGAACACAGTGAACACACCTGTCGTCACTCATTACACACAACAACTCAAAATTGAAGACACTTGTTGCTAATGCTGTGACCACATGTATAAAGGCAAGTTCAGAGTGCACAGTTTGCTGAAGATTCCAAACAAACACAATGGATGAAGGCAGAGTCAGGGGAACTGGAATTCGAGTCAGAGGAGGGAGAAGAGCTGGCAATGGAAGAAGAGGAGTAGTCCAACGAGGAAGAGGAGTTCAAATCAGAGGAGGAAGAGGAGGAGGCCAACAAGGGAGAGGAGGGGCTTGTCCACTGGCATGCTGTCCTTGGGTCTTACAACACCCAACATCTCCTCACCTTCCTAGAGGAGCTACAAGACATCCTCCTGAACTGCCAACACCATCCTGGGCCCGCACATCACATGTATGTGATCATTTGGGACAATGTCCGCTTCCACAGAACAAACCAAACAAGAGAGTGGTTCACCACCAACAGTAACCACTTTTCAAACGTCTGTCTGCCACCCTACTCCCCTTTCCTTAACCCTATAGGAGTTCTTCTCATCATGGAGATGGAAGGTGTATGACAGACAACCATACACTAGAGAGAACCTCCTAAGGGCAATGGAGCTGGCCTGTGGTGACATCCCAGTGGAGGCCTTACAAGGATGGATTCGCCATTCCAGGGCATTTTTCCCGCGGTGCCTGGCAAGAGACAATATAGCCTGCGATGAGGTGATGTGGCCCGATGCAGCTCAGCGACATGATGCCACACAGTGATTGTGGTGTGTGTGTTGTGAATAAAGTAAATAAAAAATTTCACACCCTGCTCATGCTTTCAAGAGTACTATTGTGTGCAATAGATTCTGTTTTTGCATTGAGTTGTGTTACAGTTGTGTACATGCAGAATGTTCTATAGATTTATACTCTTCATATGAAACTCACAAATCTAAATGCCTAATCCTCTGCAGAGATCTAAGAAGATCCGTAACTGTAAAGTTTCTAAAAATGGGCAAATTGGCAGTTTTGAAACAAAGAACCTTCTCACAAATTGAGTATTGTGTTTTCAATTGTTTTGCTGTAGTGTGCAACGATGTGTATAGTGTTTACATTTTTGAAAGGTTCGAGCTGCTCTTTTGGTGTGAAAGTATGAGTTTTGAAGTGAGAAGGTGTGGTTGTGTTTAGGTAGTCTTAGAAAAAGGTGTTGTGTTTAGACATTGGGGAACATGGAGGAAACGTTTGTGAAATGTGTTTTAGCATTTGAGAAAAACTGTAATGGAGTGGAATTTAGGATTTTCTATCTAGTTATTCAACACTTATGAGTTCAGTCATTAAGTTGTCTTTAAGTTAAATTAAACAAATATATGTACCTTAAAGCAGACGTGATGCTGGACATGATTCAGATTCCAGTGAAAAAATATTGTGGAAAGTTGAACTGAAATAAATTGAATTAGATTTGTCCTTGAAATATATTCTCCTATTCTGCTCCTGCATGTTTCAGGATTTTTTATGGTTTTGTAATAAACTCAGTTCTTCTGATTTGTTTCGTGCTTTATTGGCACAGTTGTATATTTTTATATAGAGTGAGACGTGAAATGCTACCATTCCTGAATTTTTCTCAATAAAAGTAAACACTTAATAAATGTTGATTTAACTTTTTAAAAGTAGAATTTATATATTTGAGCATTATTCTGTATATACCCATCCAGCCTCATGAAAAGTTTATCACCATAAAAATAATTTTAAAAAATCCAGTTTCATTGTCTTTGACCAATAAGGTCTGCTGCAGATACATCACAAACTAAACTTTCAAACTCAGACACACAGAAGATGAGCACTCAATATTTACCTTAGTATTTCTGGCTTTGGCTGGACTAAATACAACGCATCAGTGTTTTAGTCACAAATGTTCAATAAGAAGTCAGCACGTATAATATGTATGAAACATAAAATATGTTAAGAAGAATTGTTGCGATTTGGCCAAAATCTGGTCCGATCAGGCCAATGCAACGTTAGCCTTTCACCTCTGACCTCTAAGATTTAATCATTTCTTTGTTGAGTCAAAATTTGGGGCCAATTCAACCTCCCTCAAAGCATTCCTCAAGCATTGCTCATGGGAACCAGCACACAGTGAAGAACTCAGAGTAGCCTTGGCTGCAAAACCACAGGAAACAGACGAAGGCGGCTTACAGATCAACCTGCATGACATCATTTTTATTTTTCATTTTTAAATTCTGGTTGTGGGAGAGGGACGGAGGAAAGACATTTAGTGTTAATCCGTTTATTCAGAGTATTCTGATGCATTGGAATTGTAAATAATTTTAATAATGTATATAATAACAACAGAAAAGACAAATGTAGGAAGCAATATATAACATGAATTCAACTACATAATCAAAGAGGAAAAACAGGAAGTAAGGATTTCCTCAAATCAAACACAGCTAAAATGGTTGATCTTCCTCATTCTTCTTTTATTACTTTTAGTTTGAACTCAGATTCATGTTTGTGTCAATTTATGTGCTTCATAATGAAATTAATAGTAACACACACCCAACATATACAAAGATACACACACATACATACACCTGCTTCTTCATAAACACCATGGGAAGTTCTTTATCATAAACATGATTCTTTACCAACTTAAATTACAGATAAAAGCTCCAAACAAGAATAAATATTGACGAATAATCTAAAACAGCTACGTGCTTCATAAACTTTTGCAAGACTCTGAGTTTTAGAGATGACCACAACTATTTTACACATGCAAAAAGTATGATTGCAAGTGTTGTCATCATCACACATCATGTGAACACCCCCACAACACACGCACGCACAAACGCACGCGCGCGCGCACACACACACACACACACACACACACACACACACACACACACACACACACACACACACACACACACACACACACACACACACCATGTGTTCTGATGCACATGTAGCTCAGAGTAGGATGTCTGACAGACAGGAAGGAAAACAGCAAGTAACCCTGAGTGAGAGCGCTGCAGCAGCTCAGTATTGATCAGCCCAGCCTAGTCCCAGGAGACAGGACGATGCTGCAGAACAGAAACAACGGTTAGCTTTGTCTCTTTTGTTTGGGATGGCTCATGCAATCTGCTGCTGTTAGAACTGATAAACGCTCCTTTAAATGTCAAACTTCATGTGAATAACACAGTGCTTTGTGTGCAGGGATGGCACTGGTTCTTCTGCTGTGGATGGTGGGGAACTTCATGGGACCAGCATCTTCAGCGGAGCCCAGTCAGTACAGCAGACTGGTGGTGAGTCCACATCAGCAGAATCTATTTTATATGAGTAGCTTTAAACACGTATGATTTCAACTGCATTCATGTAAATTCATTTTTAGAGATTTTTCACACAGAAAATAATGCATTCATCTAGTGTTGAGAAATAGTTCAGATAAAATTTTTAATTATTTCCCGGTTTTTCAGAGACTTTTGAGGAACGTTGCGGATTATATTTAATTTAGCAAGACTGCATCTGCTGGCTTATCATCATTTTAGTAGGAGCAAGTGGTAAAGAGGATTTAAAAGTATGAAGATGATGTTTGGTTTCACATCTGAACACACTAAAGAAAATTTTAATATACGGTATTGGCTTTGTTGTGTGTATTTGACTAAAACACGTATTAAGATGTCAGTGTGAATGCTAAGAAGGAGAGCTAAGAAATCCCCGAGTTTCACAAGTGTACTTCAGTTCCTTACTATTTTTTTGCAGCTTTGGGATCACTGTCATTGTTTTAGGTAGTTTCACATCCGTCACTAGCGTCAATTCAGATTAAATTCAGTGAAGTGTTCATTTTTACAAGCGATTGTTATTTAGTTTTAGTCTTAGTCTTTTGACTGCAATTCTTTTTCATTTTAGTCAATTTATTTTGATGCAATCTTATCTTAGTTGACTAAAATATATGTATTTTTCTTCTGATGCAATAATTCCCACTGTCTATAAAGGAAATGAAACTGTGAAGAAGTGTGAAAATTTCACATTTCACACTTTGAATCAATAAAACTCGATTTCTATTATTGTTTTAACAACAATAATTATAGGAAAATACCTCATTGAACACTAACAGTTTGAAATTGGGTCTCTCAATTTTAATAAAGTAAATAAATCTATATAATGTGCAGTAAAATTGGTAAACATGACACGAAAGACAATACAAGGTGTTACTCTAATCAAGGGAGGTAATTAAAGGTAAGAACTGTTTTTAGGTGTTGTTCAAAGGTGGGCTGCCTGAAAGCTTTTCCTCACTAAAACACCGAACGCTGATAATATCGCTCGCTGCTCCAGCCTGATGCTTTCGTGTCCATCTAATGGCCAAGTGTGGGGCCTCTGTGGCCCCACTGGGCGTCTATGACGGTGGCCATGGGTCACTGCCTGATAGCCCTGTCACCCCTGAGTAGGTCTGTGTGAGGGCCTGGTGGCTTGGGTTCTGGGGTTGATTGCCCCCAAAGCACAGCTCGAAAGGAAACGAGAACATGCTGCGGTTCCAGAACAAAAGACATGACTTATGGGAAGTTGACAGGACTGGTAACCGACTGGCTGGTCTGGAAGGTTCTGGACAAGGTTCGGCTAGAATGGTCAGAACATTCCCTGGAACGAAACGGCATGATGACCGAGCCTCGAGCTATTCTGACTTCCTGAGGTAGTCCAGGGCTGGTGATGTTGGCAGGAAGTCCGGTGCGGGGCATGATGGGAGTGGGAGTCCGGAAGTTGGCTCCTGGAGTACTGGAGTGGTGATGTGAGGTTCATGAACCAATCAAATCTTTTGAACGGGTTTTCAAAGTGAACGAGTCCCTGTAGTGAGTCGTTCATCTCGTTTTTCAGTAACGACCCCCCGCACTCTCACGTCTTCGCGTCGTTTAAAGGAGTCATTCTTTTGAACAGCTCTTTGAGGTAAACGACTAATGAACGGCTCCCTTGAAAGAGCCATAAATCCCACACTGGGACATGTTTGGGGTCTGTGGGGGAGGAGCTCAGGGGTCCAGGAGTGGAAGTCTGGGGGCCAGAACCGTGACACAGAGAGGGAAAATAAACATAAATTGTTCAACTGGCAGCTTGTTCAAACAATGTTGGCTCTGGACTCTGATTGGATCTTTTCTTTTCTAGTCCCGCCTTTTCCATTTGCTCATTGGTACATTTGTCCATTCCTCCCATGATTCCCATTTTCTGATTGGATTTTTGTTTCTGTCAAATTTTAATGTCGTCTTTTGTTTGTCAATGAAAATATCTATCAATATTTGTCATGATTTTGTTTTAATAAAAGTGATCATTTTTTGTTTTAGTTCAGTTTTTGTCCGCAAAAATGTATTTGTCATGGAAAAAAAGGCAAAAATATTTTGTCAATGAAATTAACATGGATCCAGAGCGATAATTTGAAAAGAACGAAGAGAGATCAAGCTTGCATGATGAAAAACATAAAATATACCTTGTGTTGTGGGACAAATCGACACAAAATGACGGTTGTTGGAATGAGCCAACACCTTTTCCTCTCAGCTGCAGAATGAAGCGCTCAAGAAGGGTGGAGGCAGCAAAGGACTGGGGCAGGTTTCAGTGATTTTAGTGCATTTCCTGTTCAAAGTTATTTCACTGACTTTTACCACCATGCAGCAAGGAGGTCATGATCTAGCTGCAGTAACATTTAACTCCTTAAGCCCTAGGCCTATTTTGAAGCCTGTTTCTCGAAAAATGGTAAAAATTGTTTTTAATGGTAAAAATAGTTTAGATAGCCTTGTAGTGCTGGGTTTGCAGATTAATTTGATGGGAATTATTACTATTTCTTCTGTAGTGTGAGGGTTTTTTGGCCCTATTAAGGAACTAACATCACACGGTCCCCCACCTGGCGGACCCTGGGGCTTAAGGGACTAAAATGTTGTGGTCAGAAACACCCAGCAGGAGCCCCAATCACGTTAAAGTACAGATTGTGAAAAAGCCATTTCTTCATTTGTTTCCAAACAGCTAGACCTTTCGTAATCTGGTAAAACTGTCTGAAAATATTTTCTCAGTCAAAAATTTCAAAATATTTATTTGTACTTTTGAACTTTTTGTTTGTTTTCCACCCCAAACCTGATTATTCAGGTTTGTAAAAGGTTGGCCACCTGGTTTTTCTTTCTATTAATAAATACAAGAAAGGTTGCCACATCCTGGATCTTTAGATATTTTGAGACCAGAGTTCTGTCACAAATGTGCAATTGCAACAATTTGTTTTTTAAAGCATCCAAAGTTCGTAGAAAAAAAACATAAGACGTTGACAAGTCTTATCTCAACCAGGAAACGAGAAGTGGGCGTTCATTAAACAAACCTTTGTTTTCTGTGTTTCTTGTGCAGGACTGGTTGAGCAGGTACGGCTACCTTCCTCCTACTGACCCTCGCACCAGCAGACTGCAGACCAAGGAGGGGATTGAAAAAGCCATCCGTGTCATGCAGAGGTTTGGAGGTGTTCAGGAAACTGGGTTGCTAGGTATTATCATCCTTCTTCAAGCCATCATGTCATGTGCCTTTTTTGTTCCTCACATGTGGCCTCAGATAATTAAAACTTCCCATGTTCAATTTCAACACCATAATTTGTCATCTACTTCTCCTGCAGACGAGGCAACGCTGAAACTCATGTCTACTCCCCGATGTTCGCTCCCTGATGTTGTTGGAGATGAGGACATGAGAAGGAGGAGGAAGAGATATGCTCTGTCAGGCCTCAAGTGGCACAAGACAGACCTCACATGGAGGTGAGTTTCCTGTTTCGTTACTCTGTTTTTTCAAGTATGAGTCACCCAGTACTTCCCAAAACTCTTGCGTGCTATAGCATAGTTGAGTTTGATGCTATATAAAGAATGCTGACAATGTTTTTTCTATTCAGATTTGAGAAAGCTGAACAGCAAAAATTCAGAGAATAACAATGCAAAATGTTTACATCAAATGAATCCTATCCTAAGTTCTATTCTTCTGCAGTGTCCACAGCTATCCAACTCCCTCCACCTCCCCAAACCTCCCTAATCATGTGGTGGACATGCTTCTGAGATATGCATTTAAAGCATGGAGTGACGTGGCTCCATTAAATTTCCATCAGTTGCAGAAGGACAGCAGGGGGGTCACAGAAGAAGGGGACATCAGGGTGTCTTTTCAAAGCTTACTTCATGACGATGGGTACCCATTTGATGGGCAGGGTGGTACTTTGGCCCACGCCTTCTTTCCTGGTGATGCTGAAGTGTCTGGTGATACACACTTTGACGATCATGAGATCTGGAGCTTTAGTGGTATGTATGAGGCCAAGATGATTCGTGCAGTACTTTTGACAGATCAAGTAACACGTTTTATTTCTTCAGGTGACACCAGCACCACAGACTTGTTCACAGTAGCGGTGCATGAGTTTGGCCATGCCCTCGGCCTGTCCCATTCATCCTCTGATCCGTCCATCATGAGGCCATACTACCAGGGATCTGTGGGAGAAGTTTCCAGCTTCAGGCTGGCTCTGGATGACAAGCTGGCCATTCAGCAGCTTTATGGTCAGAGATGGGAGATTTGTTATTAACATCCAAAGTGTTGAGATTTAGTGTTGTTGTGTTCATATGATAAGAATCCTTCAGCCTACATGTGCAGCATATCAGATAAGTACATAAAACTGCAGGTGTCCCAGTAACAAACCTTGCAGAACACCCCAAGGCAGAAGAGCATAATCCGAAGAGAATTCACCCATTCCAACACATCCTGTCAGTCTAAAACTACAGTTTCTCAGAACAACACAGGTTCCTCCAATACTTTTCATGCTGTCATCAGCTTTCATTTCCCTTTCCTGTTGTCTGTTTTTGCTTTCAGGCATGAGGGGTGATAGACAGCCAGGTGGTTCTGATCCTGACCCGCCACGACTACCAAGCCCACCTCCACCAAGACCAACAAGGACGTGAGTAGAGCCAGAAGATGATCCTCTGACAGCAGACAGTCACTAACAGTTTGATGTTTTTATAAATAGACTCAGGATCTGATGTTCTGACAGCACTTTTGGGTTGTGTCTGGTCTTTTTGCACTCTCTAAAGCAACGGTTCCCAAACTTTCTTTTCTTGAGGTCCTCCTTGTCATGTCCAAGACAAGCTAGGACTCCCAACCCCAACTCCGACACACACAGGCATTATGTGATCATTTACAAACTTCCTACAGACAAACTGAGTCATGGCTTTTATATAGAGTTTGATTTATACTGCAGGGTGTGTCGTTCAGATTTTATAAATGTATTTTTTTACAAATACAATCCTGCTAATCTCAGAACAGATAAAATTGTGGGGACCCCATTTTGGGAACCACTACTCTAACAAATATTAAATGAAACTATATTTATTAAAAATCTGACTTTCTTCCTTTCTCAGTTCTGTTCCTGAATTCAGTGAGAGGTGTGAGGGAGGCTTTGATGCTATAGCAAATGTCAGAGGAGAGGTTTTCTTTTTTAAAGGTAAGAAAAAAAACATGCACAATCTAACAGTCTAAAAGTGGAAAATAATGAAGAAAATTTCCACAAGAATAAACATAGAACCAGGTCCTATTTTAAATGTCTTGCATTCATGGTGACTAGATGCTCTGTCTAAATGGACATTTAGAATCTGGTTCACTCCCGTGTTTCTGAAAGGTGCACAGTTCTGGAGAACGGCGAGGGACGGGTCTTTGGTGTCCCTGAAACCAGCCATGATCAAAAACTTCTGGATGGGCCTTCCTCCTCAAACAAACAAGATCGATGCTGTTTATGAGAGGAAGAGCGACAGCAGAATCATCTTCTTTGTTGGTGAGATACTGTGTGTGTGTGTGTGTGTGTGTGTGTGTGTGTGTGTGTGTGTGTGTGTGTGTGTGTGTGTGTGTGTGTAAAGTTATTGAATAAAAGAAAACATCCTTTCACAATTTTATAACAATCAATAAAAAGTTATTTAAACTTTTGAAGCCTGTCACAGACACTAATAGTCAGGAAAACATTTTCATTCTATAAAAATGTGGTTTGATGTATTTCAGTAGATAAAAAACATAAAAATATAATAAGCACAAATCTGGCCACATTGGCACCAACCTACCTGCAGTATTTCGATACTGCATCAGCAGGCAGAAGACGGCATCAACCCAGAGGATTTCTGCATAAATTTTTTACAGGTGTGCCTTAGACTGGCCACAATAAAAGGTAGTTTGATCAAACAACACAGTGCCACAGATGTTGCAACTACTCAGGGAGCGTGAAATGTTGGCATGCTGACTGCAGGAGTGTCTACCAGAGCTGTTGCCCATGAACTGAATATTGATTTCTCTACCATAAGCAGTCTTTAAAACATTTCAGAGAATTTGGCGGTCCATCCTGGCCTCACAACCGTAGACCACATGTAGCCATACCAGCCCAGGACCGCCACATGCTGCAGACTGCTGCAGCAACAGTCAGTTTGTAAAACCCTTTGGTTTGGTTTCTGCACAAACTGATGGAATGTCATCTCATGGAAGCTCATCTGCATGCTTGTCATCCTCTTTAGGGTTTGAACCTAACTGCAGTTTGTTGTCATAACCTACTTGAGTGGAAAAATGCTTGCATTCGATGGCATCCGGCATATTGAATATGAATACCAGTTCTCACTGTTCAGGGCAGATGGAAGACAGTGTTTGTGGCATCTATTGACATATACACTGGACAAATAATGTCCACAGGCTAGAATTAAATGTTTTGATTAAAAATGGGAGGTTCCCACCACCGCCATTTTGACCGTGTCTCGTCATGCCCAGACAATCCAAAAATGGGAAAAGAGGTAAAGCTGTGGGTGGGGCTGTAACGGATGGAAGAAATGAACCAATGTAGTTACTAGCTAACTTTGCTAACCCAAGAAGCTAAGAAGGGGCTCAGGGTAGCTGACCCGTGTGAGGCTGTAATCGTGCTGGTTGTCTGTGGAGCTCTAAGATGGACTGTTAAAATACAAGGAGATTCTCAGACCTCTGCGATTGAAGCCAGGCACCCTGGCCGCTTACGCCAGGTCATGCTCCACCTCGGTCAGAGCAGGTTGGAGCTCAGTGGGAGCTACATGCTAACTCAAGCTAATGGAGGTGTTACAAAGCAAAGTGTTGAAAAGTAAAATGTAGGTAGATTTATCTCCACTACCTGTATAAAGCAATAAGTTATACACATGTAATATTTATACATGTGATACAATTCAGATCACCTTCAAAACTCAGTCACACACCCAGGGCCGTTTCAAGGCATTTTGGGGGCCAAGGCAAAACAGAAAACATCCCAGCTCTTGTATGGCCAGCGTACTCACTGGACATGCCACCCATCTAGCATGGTTGGGATGCTCTGGATTGGCGTACACAATGGCACGGTCCAGATCCCTGCCAAAAAATCTGCGACTTCACATAGTTATTGAAGAGTGGTGGACCAACATTCCACAGGTCACAATCAACAACCTGATCTGCTCTATGAGAAGGAGAAGAGTCAGATTGCATGACACCACACAACTTTATCTTGTGTGGGTGACCACACAAGATAAAGCAAAACTGAGCACATCTCAGAGCGGCCTTTTATTGTGACCAGTCCAAGGCACACCTGTGCAAAGTTCATGCTGTCTAATCAGGGCATTGATGTGCCACACCTGTGAGGTGTGACTCATTTGTCAACAGTATTTGAGAGTAATGAGTCTTTTGTGTTTATAGAAAACTGCTCAGATGTTTGAGCTCCGCTCATGAATAGGAGCAAAACAAAAGTGTTAGGCTTTTGGGTCCATATAAAATGAAAATAAATTGTGTTTGTAGAACAATTATGTGTCACACATGTATGAATTATCGTCTTCATTCCAGGTTCTCAGTACTGGGTGTTCAAAGACACCCAGGCCATGGGTGGATACCCTCGACCCCTGTCTGACTGGGGCATGAGAAGAGCTAATGGGGTTCTGGTGGACCGGGTGGATGCAGCCTTCATCTGGGCCCACAATGGAAAGACCTACCTATTCAGTGATGGAGAGTTTTGGAGGTTTGATGAGAGCAAGAGAGGGGAGCAGGTGACCTGGCAGCCTGATCCAGGATACCCACGGGACAATGACATCTGGGAAGGGATGCCAACCCACATGGATGACGTCATCAGCTGGGGTGAAGGTAACCCTCGTCATGGGCACATACAAGCAGCACAATCGTGAAACTGGAGAGGTGGTTTACTTTTAGGAGAAGACAGTAAAATAACAGAATAACAGAAATGTGTCACTAAGAGTTTATTTATATTTACATTAACAGGATTAGATATTAGACAAGGCTGCATGGTGGTGCAGCTGTTGGCACTGTTGCCTCGCAGCAAGAAGGTTGCAGGTTCGAACCCTGGCTGCGGCTTTTCTGCGTGGATTTGCATGCTCTCCCATGTGTAGCGTTGTGGTTTTATGCTCTTTTATGAAAGAGGAACCATGCTACGTATTAATTCGGAATATTAATTTTAATAAATCAATAACCAAATTTTATATTGTTCAGAAGACTCAAAGGTTGTTTTCATCCATAAACTGCCGATAATATCTGAGTGTCTGTGTTTCAGTTCAATGAGGAAACCAGTTTGAAGGATTAAAAGTTTTAATTCTTCAAATTAAACTAATGATTTTGAAAATTGACAAACAGGAAATAACAATCACATTGGCAACTTTGTGGGACAATCTTTTAACAGTTTATATGCTGTTCTTGCTCAAATAGACCTTCTGGTGAACTTATAAGATTGAGAATGTTGTGATTTGTGAGATTGATATGAGGTGCGATGGATGCTTGTGTGCATCTGATTTTGCTTCAGGAAGAAACAGGTGTCTGAGTGAAAAGTGATGGTTTGAATAAACTTAGGTTTTTAGTTGGAAAAGATGCATCAAAACGCTAAACACCGTGTTCTGTCTCACCGAATTCTTGTGGACCCTCTTTCGGATCCGGGCCGTGGAGGATGTTGGTTCATCCAGATGACACTCAACGGCTGACAGGGAAGACGTAGGTGTCGAACGGAACCGGTCCAGATTTGCCCTCGGTACACGTTGATGGTAAAGCGTTTTGTCGACGCGCTTTCTTAAGTTAATTCACTTAGAAATCAAAAGACTCGGTAATGAGTCTGCGTTAGAAGTTGCGATTCAGCTATTCTGCCTGGCGTGGCAGAAACAGCGTGAAAGGGGGGGGGGGGGGGGGGGGGGGAGAAACGAGCCAGCCGGCTCTGCCCCCCTTTCGGTTTTCAGGTCCACACTCTTTCGTTGTCCAACACGAACTGAATCATTAGACTGAAAACTTACCAAAAACCTTTCTCTTCTCAAAGCAAAACCTGTGCGTCATCAAATGTGTCTGGAGTTTACTGTGGGAAGGTGTGTGTGGGTGTGTGTGAATGTTTGTGTGCTTGAGTGTGAAGGTCAGTACCATACATTCTCAACACTATCTAATTATGGATTCATTAAGCCATTATAATTACCCCAAAGCATAAGAACCATTCATTTGATTAAACACATTTATAATGAGCAAAATGATAATGGTTATTTTAACATTAAAATAAAGAAAAAGAAGTTTAAACTTTATGTTTTGACTTGGTCTGGGTACAACTCATGTAAATATATCTTCTGGTAGACTGCAGGTGGCTGATGTTATGGTTTCCTCCCAGACTCGCTGGCGTTCAGGACTTAATCTGTGGGTGAAAGTTCTCAATGACCCAGCTTTGACCTAGCTGCGTCCAGCACCACCTTTGTGATAGAAAACCCATATTTCCTCACGTTACACATGCATGCGTGGGCTTCCTCCGGGTACTCCGGTTTCCCCCACAGATCATACCGTGCCCCATAGGTTAACAATTGTATGTCGCTTTGGATAAAAGCGTCTGCCTAATAAATAAACATAAACATAGACATATTTACTTTATTTGGCCAAATAATTGTATAAAAGAACATTAATGAGTGTAAATAATAAAGGGATGAATCCTGCTGTTTTTCCTCCTGAATTAATGTTTCAGGACATAATAAAGGGAACTACGATAAATTGTATGATTTAACTGAGAAATGTCCTCCTGCTGAATCATTTTTGGGCTCTGTCAACTTATAGTAATTCTTTTCCCAGATGTTGTACCCGGGGATTTGGTTTTTTGTTGTTTTGAAGTAATACATTTATTAATTAAATAATATTTTAAAGCCCTTGGTTAAAATTATGCGTGAGCCACCGCCTAGTAGGTTTATATATGTATATATATATATATATATATGTGTATATATATATATATATATATATACATATATATATATACATATATATATGTATATATATATATATATATATATATATATATATATATATATATATATATATGCATATATACATATGAGTATATATATACATATATATATATATATATATATATACATATACATATATATATACATATATATATATATATATATATATGTATATATATATATATATATATATATATATATATATATATATAGATAGATAGATAGATAGATAGATAGATATTTGTGTGTGTGTGTTATTGTGAGTTTGTGATTTTGTAATGACTCTGCTATCTCATTTGCTATTTCGATCTACACTTTGAAGACCTGCTCGAAAATGAGATGTCAAATAGTTTTCATCCTCATAAAACATTAATTACATAAATAATAAATAAATTTACCAATCCTAAATATATTTAAACATTTAAGGCATTTTAAAATGATCTCCAGGAAGCTTCCATACAACCAGTTTTAGCTGAAAGCTTCCTACAGAGTATTCAATTCGGGGCCTGGAGGTCCAGGATCCAGCACCTTTTAGTTATAACTCTATTTCAACACACCTGATTTCAATTAACAGGTGATTAAACGCTTCTGCAGAGCCTGATGAGCTGCTGCACAGGTGATTCAACCACTGAATCAAGTGTGTTGGACCCGAGAAAATGTGCTGGATACCAGCCCTTCATGACGAGAACTGAATAGCCCTGGATCAATGCTAAACAGATTCTGACAATCATCATTCTAAATGTGGCAAGGTGGAGAAATGAGGGCCCGGGGTATTTTGATCCCTAGGCTCCTGAGAGTCATGGGTGGTAACCAGTCAGCCAACGAGACATCCCCGTAGCCAAGTAGCCAGGGCGCATGATCAGTCGGGATACAGTGACAGGAGGCTCACCCTGTCACATCAACTTAGCTGCATTTTTCTTTTTTCAGGACATGCCTATTTCTTCAAGGACAACTTCTACTGGGTTTCCATGAACGACGGACCAAACCAGGATTACGTCTCTCCCAAGTCCACGGCACTGGACTGGCTCAGGTGTCCCGCTCCTCCTCTGGCACCCTCTGTGCCAAGTCCGAGGAACCCAAAGGAGTGCAGCTGTCACTTCAGCAGATCATCTTCCTCACTTAGAAGCGACACTGCAATCCTGATCTCAGTGATATTGATAATTAATTACTTGAGTTCATTAGTTATTTAATACAACTTAATCAAATCAATGAGCCTATATTTGGGATTTCTATGTGCTTTTGTGTTTCGCCATTCCTTTTACTGGGTTGTAATCGACACTTCACACCCGCAGACGTTACATCTCTGATGATGGTGTCCAGTTACTATAAAGAATCATAGCTTGTGTCACTGTAAACTGTGTCAGAAGCTTTTGTCAAACAACTAACGCAGAAACTTGTCTCTCATCATGAGTTTCACACATTTGTCTTTTCAGACAAAGTATTCAGCTCAAGTCTCCCCTGGGTGCAGTTTAAATCTGACACTAGTGGGAAACTCCTCTGACTATTGTCATCAGATATAAAAAAAAAGAAACTTCACAATTTGTACAGCTAGCAGCACAAAAGAATGGAATTGAATAAAAAAATACTTTATTAATCACTAGGGGGGAAATTTAGACGTCAGAGGTATGTAAGCTCAAATATTTGATTTGTACTTTTGAAGCAGCTGGATTCAGAAATAGAGTCTGGTCAAACAAGGAATTGTGCTTTTATCATTTAATGCTTTCACATTTTGGACTGTGAGGAGGGGATTTTATTTCTTGCAACAAAGTTGTATTATTATTATTATTATTATTATTATTATTATTATTATTATTATTGTACTCTGCTGTTGGATGCTGTCATGGACTTAAATGTGAACAGTTTAAATGTGTTGATGTTAGAATGAATGAATTAAAAGTGCCAGTACTATTTCATAAAGATCCAAGATAGTTTGGATAACATTGTTTTTTAAATAAATGAAATCACTGTTTTAAATTTTTTTTCAGATTATTCAAGTGATCTTCTTCTGATTTTTAAATCAATTTGCCAAACCAACACATTTAGAAAGCAACTTGTGTCATTCATAAAATCATAGCTTATTGCCCTAGCGTGCAATAATATATCCATCATCTGAACAGTTTTGTGCCTTCTGATAATAAAGACATGTTTATAGCTCATCAAACAACTTTTAATTAACTTTATAACCTGTTAATGCAAATGGTCAAATGGAGGTATAGGCACCTAAAGCCTAAAGTAAATTGAACACAAAATGGCATGTGCTCACAAATGTACCTAGCTAAAATAATTATTTTTGACTTTGTAACAAACTCGTCCACCGAAGAGGAGCACTCTTAACACTAACATAGTGAAATAAAATAAATCATTAGCATTAGTAACATTACAGCAAATACTGGGTAAGTCTCTATTGATGTTAGCGGCTAACAGGAGGCGACTCTTCATTCTCTGCCAGGACGTGCTTCCTTTTAAGATGCTCATGCATCGCCGATAACCTCCTGTGAAAGAAGAGTTTCACATTGCAGCTTTTGCACATCGACATATATACTGGACAATTTGTGTCCATAGACTCCAATTATAAGTTTTTGTGCCAAAATGGGAGGTGGTCACCACCGCCATTTTCACCGTGTCACAAGTTCCGTCAAACCCAGACAATTTCATAAAAGGGAAAAGAGGTGGAGCTGAGGGTGGGGCTGTAAGGCTGGGATCAAACGACGATACCCGTTGAACTGAAGCGATGTGGCTACAAGCTAACCCAAAGCTAACGCGGAGGTGGGAGCTAAGCTAACGGAGGTAGCTACCTAGCTACAACCGGAGTTAACTGAGCACAACACCAGAGCTTCTGAGTCAGAGATGCGCCGGGCTGACCGCTGGGTAAAACCGGGTGGAACACAGAGGTCTCCCGAGAGCTCCACAAGCCGGCAGCCCGTGCAGCAGACAGGCGTCGCTGCAATCAGAGATGCACCGAGCTGCCGCTGAGGGGAGGGGACCATGCTGATAGTCGGCTCCACCAACATGTCATATTCCAACCCATTTTCAAAAAATGCAGCGTTATGATAAATGCACTGGGTTTCACCCTATTACATTTAAATTTCATGGTTAAACAGTACATGTTAAAATCTAAGCTCAGCAAGTGCAAGAGCGGCAGTGACTTAAAATACATACTTGTTTTTTACTTACCGAAAAAAAAGAAGTGGAGACTCCTTGGACACTATTACTGCAATTAATACCACAGCAAGTCATTTTGTCCAACAATTCTACAAATAATATCCAAAAAGAATGCACAAATGGCACAACTAATGGTCTAAGTTGAGAGACTGAAAATAGCGGAACAGTTTTCAGGCGAGACCGAGGCTCAGGCTGAGGCCTTTCCCCGGAGCTAGCTCTGCAGTCACATTGGTCTGATGCTCATTAATTATTCAGAATTTTAGGCATTTAGTACACTTAAACAGAAGAGTGACAAAAAAATGCACCCCCTCAGAGTGGTCATGAGTGTAAACTAGACCATTTAAACCAAAAACATTTTTTGGAACCAGGCTGTAAACATGTTTATTTCTGCTGTGAAATAGGTATTTTTAACATGGGAGTCAATGAGGATTTGCTCGCTACTGACACTGACACCAGCCCCCAGCGGATGAGAGTGGAACTGCAATTTTTGTCACTTCCCGTTTTGCTTCATATCCAGACCCAAATTATGGGGGCTTGCTTTTGCACTATGCCTGCTTCTCTTTTGTCTTTGTAAAATGCTCCCAAACTTTTGAGCTACGTTACTGACTCACCACAGTGTCTTCTTTCTCTGGTGATTCTGATTTAAAAGTTGATCTGGATGACGTCTACTGTGAATGTGCCTTGGGCTGAAAGGCAGAAACCAGCCGCAGCAGGCAAGATTTAAAAAATGCTCATAGACTAAACAACATTACATTTATAGTTGACTATTTTGTTTGTCGACGTTGTCAACTAATCGTGGCAGCACTAGTAATAATAAAATCAAAAGGATTTTAATTTTAGTCTGATAACACCATCGTGTTTCTATCGTCACATTTTTCTGATTTTAGCTCACGTTGCTCTCCAGCAAATCGACTCTTTACTAATAAGAATTCTTCATTAATTACAGTACTCTAAGTGAAGTGATCTGGATGGAATTTGCGTTAATCTGAACTTGTTCAGGTCATGAATAAAAGTACATAGACATTGTTGCTCTGTTATTAGACTGAACAGAAGGTATCTTTGAATCTCAGCTGAGAACCCTGGAACCTGCATTCTTTCCACACACCTGTTCTGGGATTCATGCATGACCAGTTTGTTTCTTTACAAAGAAAACACAGATCATTCTCCGATGACAGTCCCATGTATTTCTGCCAAGACCGCTCCACAATGACCAGTAGGTCTTTCTCACGAAGCATGGACATTTATACACAGAGCAGGTGTCTGATGACATAACTGTTCCTCACTATTGTCATTATGCAAAATAAACTAGTAACTTTAAGAGCTCTATCTACTCAGGTTGAATCGATAAATGTTGATGTTTAAGTTCTAGTTTGATTTAGGCTTAATGGAAAACAAATCTTTTAAGCACTTCAAAGGGCTTTTCTGTTAATTTTTGTATCTTAAATATTACAGTTTTTCTCCATTGGTTTGGCTCATTTTGCAGGTAAACCATGCTGGCTCATTTCCCCATTGGTTTGGCACAACATAATTGCATTTTTCATTCAATTTATCAAATGGCAAATGCCTTGAATATTTGCTACATTGATGACAGTCATTGACAGTCAGGTGAAACTAGACTAACGAACGGGGAGTGTCACACACAGGTGTTTTCCATGATCGTGTGCTGCCATTTCTGACAATGGTGTGGCCACTCACATCCCCAGTCTTGGCCCATAAAACACACACAAGCTCCTCATCTTCTTGGATCGCCTTTATACCGATTTTATCCCTGAAAATGAGAGGTCTCATAGGGCCTCACCTACCCATTTATGTAATTGTGTGGGACAATATCAATTTCCACCATAGCCCACTCATTAGGGGGTGGTTTGCAACACATCCAAAGCTGGTCATGAAGTTCCAACCACCTTACTCCCCTTTCCTCAATCTGATAGAGGAGTTTTTCTCATCCTGGAGGTGGAGAGTGTATGAGCATCATGCTCAGGGTCAGTTGTCCCTGCTCCATGCTATGGACGCAGCATGTGACATTACAGGAGATCAATGCAGGGGATGGTTGCGGCATGCACGCCGTTTCTTCCCTCGTTGCATTGCAAGAGAAAGTATCCGCTGTGATGTGGACGAGAATCTGTGGCCAGACGGACAACAGCGTGTAAATAATCAGGAGGGTGAAGACAGTGGACAAGAGCGGGAGAATGAGTACAGTGACCACTGAATACATCCTTGTTTTTTGATTTTGTGTTCATACAATTTACAGTTTTCCTGTAATGTACATTTTCTTTTTACATATGTATGAAACTTTCTTTGCTTGTGAATAAAAAATGGTTATAATTTCCTTCGTAGTGTGAGTGCAATCTGTGATGTCAAACCTTGGAGGCTACTCTTTTCAGGTATATCGTTGGTCCTTTGCCATAGCGACAAAACATCTAAACATTTGTATGGCAGTACTTACACAATGCCAAAGGGACGATGCTTTTTGGGGGCACTGACTATTCAGATTAGAAGGAAATGTAGTTTTGACACATGAGTGAACTGTTTCAGGAGAGATATGAGCTTTTGTAGGTAAACCATGTTGTTGTGATCAACCATCCAGGTTTATTTTGACAAAAGCACCAAGAATGATGAGAATGTCCGATCTGTGTCGAGAAATGAGCCAAAGCTATTGAGAAGGATCTTTGCCATTTTGGAGATACTGACTGTTTAAATGAGAAAGGGATTTAGATTGAAGCCTGAGTGAACAGTTTTGGAAGAGATATGAGCTTTTGCAGGTGAGCTATAGTGTTGTGCTAAACTAAGAGTGTTTTGCCAAATGATCTTAGAGGTTTGAGAATGTAATTTCTGTTTCAAGAAGTGAGCCAAACCAATGGAAAAAACTAACTTCACAAGGTATCTGAAAAGACTTCAATGTAATAATATCAGGAGGTAAACAAATCATTTAATGTGCAATAATTCACAACATCCAAAGAAGAAATAAAGCATGTGGGTATAATTAAATAATATTTTAATAAGTTACATAGTAAAGATTTTTACACAAGCTTAAGTTTCAGTGTTCAACTTAGTGCAAATAGTTTTACAAGCATAATATTTTCATGAGAAAACTGGCTTTATTGTTATAAAGACAAAATAAATCTGAATTATTTAGTGCTTCAGATACGAGTGATAATGAATAGGTTATATATAGTTTATCAATAGTTAATTTCATGCTGGAAACTAAAGGATTGTTTTATTAAGGCTCAACGTCTAGAGGACTTATCCTCCTTCTGTGCAGATGCCATCAAAACAGGAGCAGCAGTGTTGGCAACATTTTGATTTCATCTCTGATTCGTGCTTTAGATCCACCTGAGAACAAGGCAAAGAACCATCAGACCCAAGGAGAAGCCTGTTCTGGTGGAAGAGGACTTGGGTTGTGTGGAGACTGGCTGTGCAGGCTGGATGCTTCTATAGACATTAACCATCAGAGGAGAGGAGCCGTCGTTGATGTGCAGCGACGTGCTGAAAAGGTCAATCTGAGGGGGGACGAAGACAGATTAATGATACAAAATGCAAAAAAATAAATAAATACAAAAGTTTGAAGTTAAACTGAAACACTCACGAGGTCTTTGCTGACTTTAATTGTGTCCTTGAAGACAGTCCAAATAACAGCCTCATTACAGTTTGGGTTGGTCAAGGAGCCGAGGTAGCGGTAATACTTGGTACGATCCACTCCAACCAGGAGATCGTCCAGAGAAATCCCAGCCGGCACCTCCACTGATTGTCCTGAGGACAGAATTGACAGATGTAAGAGTCTGTCTGGAGCTTTCAGTGATCAAGTTTCACTAGATGAAGTCATCTTACCAGCCACTGAGATGTTAGCCAACAGTGAGGTTAAGATTTTCCAGCTTGCAGGCTGGCCAGTTGTACCTGTGAGTTCCTTGTATAAAAAAGAAGTAGATTTTAAAAAGAACAAGAAGAAACAGACAAGTTTTGTTGACTTTTTGGAAATGACCATTCTGCTAAATTAGGACAGGTTTTCAGATTTTTGTTCTCGTTTACCTCAATAAAGAAGCCCAGAGCAGCAAATCCTAAAGAGTCTTTGAAAGCAAGAGTTGTGTTCCGATTGTAGGTCAACTTGCTGTTTACGATGTGCAACTGTAACAGTGATATAAAAAAAATATTATAATAAAATACTGAAGAAATAGCCTTCTTTGATAAAATTTAAGATTATTATATGTTAAAGGGTATAGATTACTTAAATCTGACTTTTTGTTCCTTTTGGTGCTACCATGGGGGTCTCTACTGCTGCCTCAACACTCCAGTCATTAAAAGATTTTCAATCTGTAGGTCTTTAGTTTTAAGCATATGATTTCTAAACCAGTCAAAAAGTCCCCTTTTGTGACGACATTAACAGGGAAATTAGCATATAACCACCTCTCACCTATGAATTCCCCACCCAACAAACATCCAACATTTTAGTTTACCATGACGAAGAGAGAAAATGCTGTGGGAACAGCAGAGGGCAGTGATACGCCTTGGAGGCATCTAGCCTGGCAACCCAAAAAGGAAGAATAGGGTTAGGGTTATGGACCACGGACCACTGACACAGCAGGCTTAACCATTCGTCTAATGGAGGCAAATAGATGAATGGTGATGCAAAGTAATTATAACTAACGTCACTAGCGACCAGATAGTTTGTTCAGTACTGCTTGATGATTGAGGGAACTGTCCCTATTCTTTATCAAATCAGCATATGAGAGAGAGAGATGTAAATCCTTTTAAATAATGATGTCTGTGAACTAACTTTTGTTCAGTTGAGTTGATATCTGCAGGTGATAAACAAAACGGCTCTTCTAAGAGCCAACAAACAGCCTTAAGCCTGATTCATGCGTCTGCGTCAGTGCGGAGACACACAACGCCATTATCCGTCCTTGTGAGCCTGCTGGAGAGCCCCGCAAGGATGTACGGAGTCGAGCTTTCTTTTCTAAACATCCGTCCGTCGAGACGGAGAACGCAAGCTTGTGATTGGTCAGGGCACCGCTGTCATCTACACCGCCACCATTGCATCCTCAAAAAAATAAAGAGAGCCAAGAATAACTAGTGGCAGACATGGAGAAACTTGAAGAATGCCTCGCGAAAAAAACTCTAAAAATATGAACGTTTAATTCCCCCGTGACTGGAGGAGTGAAAAGATGCGCAGCAGACATTTTATTTGTGGACGCAAATGACAGGAAACGTGGGTTTAGAGGTGGCGAGCGCATGAAGAGGTGGAGGAGAATGAGAGACAAATTTGTCCGTGTTAAACAGTCTTATATATACAACACAATATAAACGCACCATCTTGGACCGGATACATGACAGGATACCACAGAACAGCGCTACGCCCTCTGTTGTTCTGGCGGGGAATTGCTATGCAACACACCCCAGGAGACGGAGAAGTATGAGACCAAAATGCCTCCATCCGTGTGTGCGTGTCTCTCCCTGTTGGAGCTGACGGAGAAGCATGAATCAGGCTTTAGACGCAAACAAGCATTCCAGCTTCCAGTCGCGACCTGGAGATCGGAGCTAATCTACGAATTCCTGGTACCTCGAGGTCCCTGTCCATCCCAACCTCATGACCCCTTGGATCTCAATGGGGATCTCCACAAAAAAGGTAACAGATTGTGTCAGATGGTTTTATAAACAAATCTCTAGTTTACCAAACAAACTGCCAAATTATTTTACAATCCAGACTCCCCAAACTCTCTCAGATACTTAAAGGTTTTGCTAAAATGCCTAGCTTCCATTCTGGCATTCCACGCCTCACAGTAAATCATTTCATAGCCATTACATTACATTCATACATACTTTGTCTTGTATAATCATTAGTTTAGGGAGATAGAAATAAATTCATTTTTATAAACTACATACTTGACTCTGTCTAGATTAATATGAAGTGTGTTTATGGCTTCTGAATAAGTAAAAGTAATTAAATCTTCTGATTAAACATTCAAAGATCAATCATGTCGATATTTCATATTTATATGGAATTATCACTTCTGATTGATCATTTTGATCAGAGAGAGAGAATCAGAGAGCATTTTATTGCCAGCGCTCCAACGAACCAGAGCATGGGAACTCGACTCCACAGAACAGCCTGACCAAGATTACACACACATAAACAGGACAGATACAGGCAGACCACGAGAGCAGCCATAACAGCGCTCATTTCCATAGATGAAGAGGGGATTACATGAGGAGAGATCGGGGAGGGAGAAAAAGGCATTAACAGAGTTACACCGGCAGGGTGTAGCTCTACTATGCAAAAAACCACCTCAACATATAAGCACGAACGTCACAGTTCACAACATGAGAACCGGTAGGTAGGGGGGGGGGGCGGGGATGGGACCCTGGTTTCCTCAGCGGGAGCGGCCTGTGTGGCGCTTGGCCAACTGAATCCACAGGTGGGTGGGAGGTCATGGGAAAGCACAGAGCACAGTGAGTGCCTCCATCTTGATGACCTCGATGCAGAGACCACAATCTGAAGGCGTGGGGGGTGGGGGGGGTGGGGGGGTTTGGTAGGGTTTCACAGCATTTGTCTGCATTCCTTCCATCGTGGGGTTTTTGCACGCAACAAAATATGTAATATGATAAATATGTAGCCACTCTTTAATGCAACACTCCTATCACACCCAGTTTTTTTTTGGCTCTGCGATCACTTGAGCTGCATTCTGCTTAGACTGCCAGTACCTATCAGCTGCCTCTGGAACTCCACAGGCCAAATGGACCTTCGGCCACCACCAGCAGGCAAGGTGGGATAAGTTCCTTGCCCAAGGACACAACAGCAGAGTTATCAGGATCTGTGTCTAAATGGCCTTGTCCCAGACGTGGTGAGCAGACTGATCGTAATACAAAACATTTGGCCAATGTTTCATATCAGCTAAACTTATCTACATACATTGTGTGTGTGTGTGTGTGTGTGTGTGTGTGTGTGTGTGTGTGTGTGTGTGTGTGTGTGTGTGTGTGTGTGTGTGTGTGTGTGGTGATAAATGTTGTAAATGCATCGTCTCAAAAAGTCCAACCAAGCACTAGGTTTACACATTAACACCTCTGTAAGAAACAACAGTTGCATTAAGAATAAGAATACCTTCATTAGTCCCTCAGTGGAGAAATTGCATTTTGCAAATTGCATTGCCCTTGTGTGCTGTCCTCGTTCAATAAACGAAAACGAAACTAAACTAACACAGACCCGAGGAAGTGATACTTTATATCTATGCAATTACATCTCTGATGAAATATCTGAGTTTTTGATAGAGCGATCGCACCTTGGTTATCACCAAAGATTGTTACAAGAACATAAAAATCATCACTCAACCCTTTCATCGGTTGCAAAAAATACAAGCTCTCCTGTGCTGTAGCAGCTAGGCTACATGTTCTTCTTCACATGTTGACAGTGTAACAGTTTCTTGCTTCTTGGTTTACAAAGAAATAATAGACCCTTTTTTGTTTAAGATGAAAAAGTAACTTGTCTGTCTCTCTGATCTGAAGCTCAACCTGCATCACTGTAAGCTATTTGTTCAAGCTTTGCTTCAGTCTTCGTGCAAGATCTTGATTTATAGTTCATTTAAAATACCTTAGTACGTGTTTAGCTGCTTTCCAGTGTTGTTCCCTTAATGTAGACAAATAATGTGAGTTTAAGGACAATCCAGCTAATCAAGCCTTGTACACGTGGTAACATGGATCAAATGGCCAACCATTTTACAATCTCTTATCAAGTTCGCCTTCAGCATCAACATTTATTTTGTGTTCACATGGCTTTGCCCTGATTTAGCAGTCAGACACAAACTTCTCAAGAATCTTTGTCATGAATCTTGTTTGGTTCATTCTTATGGCTCTTTTCTCTGTGAATTAAATGCCTAAAAAGTTTTTTTTAAGTTTCCCTTCATATTCAACCTTTTGCTTACATTTCATCAAGTGATTTTATATCATTTATTGCAATCATCAGGCCATCAACCCAGATAAACAAATTCATTTATCCATGCACAGTCTGCTTGCTGTACACACAATAGAATGCTTCATTTTGTGTTAAGCCATTTTTTTCCACCAAGACAAGCATGTAATGAACTGCCCAGCCAAAACAAAAACACGCCACCAGGCTTTAACTAAGCAAAGAGTTTGGAGCCTCCTATACAAGTACTGCATGGGAGATCATCTTTCAGCTGGCCTAAGAAGGGTTAGATAATTGGCATGCATCAAAGAAAGCATCTAATGGGATTTCAGAAATGACTACAATTGGTTTAAGAATTGTTAAAAACTGGTCTGTTGAGTCCAAATGGACCCTATTCCAGTGTGATGGGTGTATCAGGGTAAGAAGAGAGGCAGATGAAGTGGTGCACCCATCGGGCCTAGTGCCTACTGCATAAGCCTGTGGGGCAGAGCTATGATCTGGGGTTGCTGCAGTTGGTCAGGTCTAGGTTCAGCAACAGGATGTGATCCAAGAATGAGGTCAGCTGACTACCCGAATATACTGAATGACCGGGTTATTCCATCTTCCCTGATGGCACCAGCATATTCCAAAATGACTATGCCAGGATTAATCAGGCTCAAATAGTGAAAGTGTGGTTCAGGGAGCATGAGACATCATGTTCACACATGGATTGGCCACCACAGAGTCCAGACCTTAACCCCATTGAGAATCTTTGGGATGTTCTGGAGAAGGCTTTGTGCAGCGGTCAGACTCTACCATCATCAGCCCAAGATCTTGGTGAAACAAATGCAAAACCGGATGGAAATAGGTCTTATGACACTGCAGAAGCTTACTGAAACAACACCACAGCGAATGTGTGCTGTAATCAAGCTAAAGCTAGTCCAACAAGATATTAGTGTGACCTTTTTGATAGTGACTGTTTTGTTGGCCAGACAGTGTAATTTGTTACAGTTGCTTCCAGATCGTTTCATTCCATATTCATTTGTTCAGTTTACATGCCATTTTTCTACCTGTATCTGACCTCATTTCAAAACCTTCAGGCTGTTCAATGTACACTTCTTTGTCAGCAGGGTCCTGTAGATATGTTGTCATCTGATGGACTCCCAAGTCGTTCTGTGCTGCAAGCTGCATTAATGAACGTACTGGAGTCAGGTTTGCAGATGGAGAAAATGTCTTTGTAACATACTCCAGGTGCTCGACTCTGTCCTTTTGCAACCTATCTGGCTTTGTATGACTCGGTTTTGTCTACATCTTCTAATGACATAAACCCATCTGCCCCCACTGGTAAAGTAGGTAAAGTAAAGGTACCGTTTAATTCCAATGATTTTATTTCTTCATGCATAGCTTTTGCTCACATTTCATACTTTGATGAGGTAATGGCTCATCTCTGTTGCCTAGATTTGATTGGGCTGTTGATTGCAAAAATCCTCCACATCTGGGAGAGTGGCACCCCGGTGTCCCCTTTGAATAAACCACCATGGCCTGCAACACCTCACGATCTTTTGTGATCTATTATTGCACCTGCTTTTCGTTAGGTGTCACAGAAAACAGAAAAGTGTAGCTACCTCCATGGGATATCGCTTTCCATCCACAGTGTGTTCAGCGCCAGGGACAGCGGTCCCGTTTCCCCAGTGCAAATGGAGCTGCAGGGTGTCGTAAGTGGCAGGTAGGTCTCCTGCTGAAATTTTAACCCCTGGTTTAAAGGTCACTTGGACTGAAGGAGTGAGAAGAAAAAAAGATGTTTTACCACAATTCTCAACACCTGTTTAGGTGTCACAAGGATGAGAAAATCAAGGCTGAAGAATGAAATATTAAAACAGAACAGCTGCAACAAAATAATCTAGTCCCATCAACCATCCACAGACCTGTCTTTCCTGTGTTTTGTATAAAATTCATGGCACTGGTGTTGCCAAAGCCCTCAAAGGTGAGGGCAGTTAGGTTGGCGTTCTCTGTGACAGATGCTGAGACGATGTTGACGGGCGACTGGCGGGTCCCGTTACAGTACAGAGGAACAATGGTGGCCCATTGAAGGTCATCTAAAAATAGGAGAGGATATGAGTCACTAGTAAGCAAAAACAAAAAGATACATGATCAAGATTGTTCTACTCACTGCAGGTTGAGTCATTGTAACACCATTCTGTAAGACGAGCAGCACAATTAGTCCAGCACATAAATAATTCCTCAGCAGCACTTGTTTTCATAAGAAAGGTGTGAAAACAATGAAGGTTTTACCGATTGGATTTGATGCACAGTAGGAGCTCGGTACACGGACACACACGGCAACCAAAATTACTGCAAAATAGTTCATCTGAAATACAGACATATTAAAAATACACAACAATATCATACATGGAAATCAATATAAGTGTCAAATATAAAAACATTTAAATATCTCATTGGAAAGGCCAGCTTGTTGAGTTGACATCAAATAAAAATCCCATTTCACTGAATAAAAGCAGGTTTATCTGAAGCTGGGGAGTCTTACCTTTGCTGCTCAGGTGCCTCCGTCTCTAATGCGTCTAACATCACCTGCAGGTCCCCGCCCTCCTGGCTTTATACCAGTTCAGCCCATTCTGCTGGGATCTAGGAGAAACCTTGTTTTTGAAGTTTCCTAATTGTTTGCTTACTTATGGTCCATCTGGTGTCTGAGCAGAAATCTCTTTTATCAGGTATTCCAGAAAGGAGGATGGTTTTAAATGAGATAACAGATCCTGTTAAGAAACTTAAAAGTAGGATTTTTTTATGTTACACTTTAATGTAACAGCTCACTTCTTTAATCGGGCAACTTCCTGGTTAGAGTAAATTTCTGTTTTCGGACTACAGATGAGTTAAACGGTCAGAAACCATCAGCCTGGATTAATTTATTGACATAAAAAAGATTTGAAATAAATCTGATAAAGAAAAATGTTGAATGACTTCTTGTGGCCCAGTTTTTCTGTAGTAATCTGCCAGTTTCCGACAGGTGTTTCTGTTTTACACCGACAAAAAGTGTGACTGGGCATCTTTCTAGATTCACATGAACAGTATGGGCTCAGCTAGTTCTCTTCAATCCCTTTGAATCAGCTGTCATGAGTACATTTATATTACAGTTTTTCTCAATTGCTAAAACACAAAAGCCAATCCTCTAAACCAAATGACCATTTGTCTAAACACATTGACTAAATCTAGCCATCATTTTCCAATATCATAAACACATTTCACATGAAGACACAATACACAAAACACAATCCTCCATTCTCATAAATCTAAACACATTTTTCCTTGCTAAAACACAAGTTGCAAAAGAACTCTGCTCATATTCTCAAATGAAAGCTCATGTGATGCCAAATGCTTGCCACAGTCAGCACTAATTGAACACAGTGAACACACCTGTCGTCATTCATTATACACAACGACTCAAAATTGAAGACACTTGTTGCTAATGCTGTGACCACATCTCCTCACCTTCCTAGAGGAGCTAAAAGACATCCTCTTGGACTGCCAACAACACCATCCTCGGCCCGCACATCACATGTACTGTATGTGATCATTTGGGACAATGTCCGCTTCCACAGAACAAACCAAATCAGAGTAGTTCACCACCAACAGTAACCACTTTTTACAGTAATAAGAAACATTTGAGCTATTAAATCTTTTCATATCAACTAAACTTTTTAAAATTTTGTCCAACATATCATGTTTTGTTTGAAATCTAAAAATATTTGCTGTAAGGGGAAAGTTTAAATTTTCAAATGCTTATTATAAAGATATTTCAAATGTATTAAGAAATCAGTGTGAATGTTGAGGAAGTTTCACACATGTACTTCAGTCCCAGTTGTTATATCAGTTCTATATGTTTTTAGCAGTTCTAAATTATTTGGTTTCACATCCTTAGTCAGATCCTCAACCAGATAAATTTGCTTCATTCAGTTTCTGAAGAAAAAACTCACAGCTTGCTCTCTTTATCCTTCACCCCTCTAGAAGCAGGATGCTGCAGACTCTCTCTCAGTTGTGAGTTGAACGGAGGGTCCCATTCCCTCCTGTGGATTTATGTTAATGACTGTCTGACATCTGATTCTTATCAAGGTTTTTCCTGAACCTCCATCACTGCTCGCTGCTTGGGAGCAAGGAGGAGGAACATAATTTTCTTCCTCATTCACCCCCTTTATTTATGTATTTATTTATTTATCTTGTTTCATGACCATAAACATCTGATTGATTTATTCATTCATTTATTCATAAGAAACAGGCACCTTAGTCCACTTCTGTATTTTATCCCTCAAATTATCGGTACCTGCTTTGATGTGGTTTCAAGCAAGCTGAGTCATGCCAAAAATGCTACGTCAGTAGCTGTCGGTCACCCGTTGACTCAGGGTTGAGTCACTGGTTGTTCTACAGATTTCTGCCTGCTGCCTGTGTTGGTTTTGTGTAGAATACATATCACCTAACACTGTGTCAGGTACACATCAACTCATGCTTGCAGGTGCCCCCTGCACTATAACAAGCACACCCATTAGAGGTGAATGTATGGAAATGTCTCAGCACCCTTGTGTCTGTCATATGTAGCTGTTTCTCTAAGTATTCTTACTTCCTATATTTACTTATCTCTTATTTGTATCTTTCTTTTTCACACCAAGTACCACAGCAATTTCTTAATGTTGTGATTTCTCACTTCTCTGGCAAATTAACCCTTCTTATTCTGACGGGTAAATTCTCTCTGTATGTCTCACCCATCAGGGGTCGGGCTGGGGTGGAGTGAGTTGGCTTATGGGTCAAACTTCCTTCTCTGTGCAGGCACGTGCAGAGGGGGGTGCGGAGGGTGCTTGAGACCCTGCCCCTTTTGTCCGAAGTGCCCAAAGTGCCCTTTTTCCGGTCGTTCGTCAGATTTTACCGTACAAAACTGTTATACTGTGATACAAATCGGGCACTAGGACCATGCGGAGGCAGCCGCCTCAAGCTGAAGGCTATTTTCCCTTAGACCCGCCTACAAGCTCACTGATTGGCTCTGCCGCATCATACTAACATGTGATTGGTTGTCCTTGCTGTCGCTCTACCTTGTAGCCATGGAGACGACAGACCGGTGTTTTCCCTGCGGACAGGAGTCTGCGTTCATCTACCTGTAAGTTTTTTTTTCTGCCTGCTTCACGTCAGCTGGATAGATTTTAATATCAGAGCTTTTGTTTACGTGCGTTTGAGTCCGTGGTTAGTGTGTGTGGAGCAGAGTCAGGTAGCTGCATGTCTGGGACAGAAAATGAGACATGAGAGAGAGTTCTCCTGAAGTGTTGAAGAAACTCAAAGAATCAATGTCTCACTCTAGATTCTCCGGGTCATAACTTATGAATTGCTAATCGAATAAAAATACTTCAAACGGGTTCTAAAAGTACATAAAACGAGCTTTCCAACGAGGTATTACATGATGTAATTCATGGCAGCGTCACAGAAAGAAACGGAGGAACCGCGACGGGAGAGCAGAGAACCAAAGGGAGGAGACCGTCTGATCATCTTCATCAGCAGCTTTTATAAAGTTATGGAAACATCACAAATAAAATCCACCTGGTTGGTCAGGTGTCCCAGACGGCTGTTTCTGTAGATGGTGACATGAGGAGGGACAGATTAAAGTCACACTGGTTTTTATTTGAGCACTCAACTGTTTACTAAATGATTCAGCTTCATTCCAGCATTATTTATACGTACAATAAATACTTTTTTAGCTGAAAATATAATTTTATCAGTGCAGAATTTTATTAGTTGACTTTTTGTAATGAAATGTTTACATTTAACCATTTATCTGGCTTGTTGATCTTCATAATGCTGGTAGAAATGTAGCCACAGCTGTGAAGTAGCCCATGAGTGTTATTTTATGATACCTAGTATTTATTTTACTGTATCCCGTTCTCTGGACCAGAGCATAGACCTGTGGTCACAGACAGGCTGCAGTCATTAAACTGGTTAACATGAGGTCAGGGGTCATACTGTTTTCAGAGTGTTTGCAACACAGTTCTGAGTTTAAACACCGGTAGTTCTTTTGACATAGTTTGCTCAAGTCATTTTGAAGTTCCTGTTTAGTAATAAATGTAAAGAAAATTCAAATCTGTTTTTTTTTTTTCATTTAAGCTGCAGTTTTACAGACTTTAATAAACATAAACACAAATACAAAATAGACACTGAAAGCTGAGGTTGTTCTGAAAAAAGGAGCAAAGTTACAAACATTTTACACTTTTCTTACAATTTTAAAGCCATAAAACCAAAAAAAATATTTGTTATATTTATGGTCATAAGAGGGTTAAACGTGATAAATTTTCCGCCTCCCACAAAGAGATGGTAAAAGTGAATGTGAGCATAATTATATACATTTTATTACTTTATTATGTATTTTTTATTATTGACTATTACTCCAAAGAGTTCAGATGAAGGCAACTGGACTTCTTTGGTTTCTTTAAAACATTTCACTTCTCCTCTGAGGAGCTTTGTCAGTTCTAACTGGAATATGGGAGAGTCAAGCTCATAAGCTGTAGCTGTCTGTTGTTATTTAAAGAGCAGAAACTACTCTGAGTACCCCGCCTCTCCATCTCCTGATGAGTCGTTAGCCTCTACTGATGGTGAGTCATCGTGTTGATTAGATGCAGGAAGATGTGACCTAGACTGAAACTGAATGAGATTCAAAAAAATGTTCTAATCTTTTAAACAACGCTGTTGGTCCTCTTGGTCCTTGTTCTGGTTTTCTAAAACCCTGTGTTAAAAACCTTGGTGTGTTTTTAGATGGTTCTTTTAATCTTTACAGACAGGTGAGTGCAGTGGTCCAATAAGGTTTTTATCATTTAAGGCAGATAGCAAAGGTGAAGCCATACCTTCCTGCTAATGTCCTCGAACACGTCATCCACCTGTTCGTGTCTTGCCAATTGGACTACTGCAACTCCCTGTATTCTGGCCTGGACCAGTCCTCCCCACACCGACTTCAGCTGGTCCAAAATGCAGCGGCTCGCTTGCTGACTGGAACCAGCAAGTGGGATCACATAACCCCGGTTCTGGACTCTCTCCATTGGCTTCCTGTCTCTTACAGGATCCGTTTCAAAATTTTACTTTTTGTTTTTAAATCCCTTCATGGCCTGGCCCCAGTTTGCATCTCTGAGCTGCTGTCCGCTTACGTCCCTGCCAGAACCATGAGGTCCAGCTCTCAAGCTCTTTTAACAGTTCCAAAAACCCACCACAAGACTCGCTGCGACAGAGCGTTCTCTGTGGATGGGCCCAAACTGTGGAACAAGCTATCTCTCAACATCAGGACCACACAGAGTCTAGAGCATTTTAAATCCCTTCTTAAGATGCAATTTTTTGATTTGGCTTTTAATACAGGTTGACTTCAGCATCTTAATAGTTTTTAACAGTTTTTATCATAGATTGTGACTGTTGTGTGCTCATCTTATTTTAGACTTTTATTGTTGATTTGTTGTATCTTGATTTGTTTTACCTTGTACAGCGCTTTGGTGTAGCTTTGCTGCTGTAAATGCGCTCTGTAAGTAAAATTGACCTTGACCAAAGCTGCATTATTGGTACTGGAAAGGTGAAATCTAAGCCCCGCCCCTATTTGAAGTGGGGTTTACATAGATAGCTTATTTTACTCCTCTCAATCATCTATCTTCTCTGTCCAGAATGTGGACTTTGTCATCTTCAAAGGTGTGTCCCTTGTCCTTCAGGTGAAGGTGGACTGCAGAGTTTTGACCTGAAGAGGTGGCTCTCCTGTGTTGTGTTATGTTCGTGTGTAATTGTTGTTTAGTTTCTCTAATGTAAACATCTGGACAGTGCTCCTACACTGGACTGCATAAACGACCCCACTGAGCGTCTGTTTGGGTGTTTTGTCTTCTGGATGGACCAGTTTCTGTCTGAGGGTGTTGTTGGGTTTAAAGTTTACCGGGATGTTGTGTTTGGAGAAGATTCTTCTAAGTTTCTCTGCGACTCCTGCCACGAATGTGATGATGGTGCCTTTGTGTAAAGGGTGTTGTTGTTAGGTTGGTAGCAGAGCTCTCATGTTTAGTGGTAAGTTCAGTGAGATCATCGAATGGGATCAAGAATTTTCTACTGACAGGAAAAGATCTCAGCTAACATGGCTGAAGATCACATGGATAAGTCTCTGTGGTGCATTTATTTTACTACCTCTTACTAAAGCTGTCTTTAGTAAGCACAAAATATCTTTGGTTGTACACCTGTGCAATAGCAATAAAGTATCTTGATTTCTGTTAAATGTACTTCCTGAATGAGTGACCTTTTCAGGCTAAAATAACAAAATGACAAATGCAGACAGAAGGACGACTTCTTTCTTCTTTTATAATGCGTTGAATCACCACCTGGTATAAGAACAGGACTCAGTGTTGGAAGATAATCAAAAATCAAACAACTTGGACTCGGATCAGGGGCAAAAATGTGGTTGTAACATCTCTAGATATAAGTCAGCTTTAAAAACTAAACCTATTATTTATGAACTAACATTAACACTAATGACACTAATTTATATATTTTTATTATGTTGTTTGAACCCAAGGGTCTCATTATCTAAATTTTCTAACTTATTGGATTGCTCTATAAGTGCCCCTTTTTTTTTACTTTGAGCACCCGCCCTGTCAAAGGTCTCTGCACGGCCCTGTCTCTGTGGTCCATGACTCCTCCACAGTACCATGATGCAATTTTTTATGTTTGCGTGTTACATTTGTCACATTACATTTTCCAAACACCTCTCTGATAATGATGATGATGACTTGTTGTTCTTGAATGCCTGTCAGGCATGTGGATCTGCTGTTGCATTATTATTTTCACTATTGACAGCACAATGCATTAACTGTATCTCCCAAAAGCCTTTGTATTGTCAAACCCTGTTTATATCCCCAGTGATGCTGGAAATGAGATCTTCTCAATTTCATATATTCTGGTCTTCAAACAGCTCAGACAAACATCCTGAATCACATCATTATGATTCACTCATAGATCAACCCTATCGCTGTTGACAAAACACAAAGAGAGAATGGTTGATAAAGGGCATAATATATATATATATATATATATATATATATATATATATATATATATATATATATATATATATATATATATATATATATATATATATACAGAGAAAGAATTAAAGAATGGCATAAAGTAAAGTACCACAACCTTCAAAATAAGAGTAGAGTTTAAAACTGAGTCAATAATAAATGGGAACCCAACGCCAGTCGATGTGTCAGGCTTCAGAGTGACTTGGAATTTCTGCAGAGTTTCTTCTACGCTGCATCTGATTGAATTTGTTCTCAAATGGAAAATATTTTGATAATTCATTATTTGGTTTGACACAAAGGGAC